TTCGTTCATAATAAAGTAGCTCCAGAAACACAGATAAAAGCAAAGAAGAATAGAATTGATGAAGAGATAGACAGGTTCCTTTCGTAATAGCAAAACGATGGAAATATGAGGATAGAGAAATAGCTTTTGTTCTTCTTTTCGTAAATCCCTTTCTTTTAGTCTTTACATTTGGATTTTTAATTGGTTTCTTCTGTACCCTTCATTTTGGGGCTTAATTTGGATGAGTTGTTGAGGTTGAATAGTGTTTACCCCAGATTATTGTGTTTGCTGTTACCTTGTGAATTGGATGGTGTTACAGTCTTAATTCAAGAGCTTATAATACAGCCACAGGAAAGATAAATAGCATTTCATAATTTCATGAACTAAAAATCCAGAATGAAATGATGGAGGAAGTGAATTCCTTTCTTCTTGGTCATAATCTCCTTTCCTATCTGTATCCTTTCATTATCTCGTCACTTCTCCAAATCTACGGCCCACATTTGGGCGGCTCTTGAGCTCGGACGTGGACATGATAGGAGGGAAACTGCCTGGCTGCTTGTTTCGGCTGCAGTTGGCCGTCTACCACCTCAGAGGACATTGGCATTGCCAATGTATATGGGCGCCTTTTTCTGGTAGCAACGGCCATGACTCGCACGCAGCGCTCGCGCAGAAAGCCATCCTGGGGTGTAAGGATCCTTTTGTCCTAAATGTCCATGTCCTAAACCTCGACAAGTTCTCTCCAATGCGCTTCACAAAGTTTGCCTCCCCCCCCCCTTCCCCCCCCAAAGGCCGCACCAAACCAAACCAGGGGTGCCCAGCCGAGGTAGTAAGAGCCATGGACCGGGTCCTCGCAGTGAACGACGAAAGTGGACGTGCTGAGGCTGTCACGCGCGGAGTCGTCGGGCTGTTTTTTTTTTGGGGGGGGCTGGGTGAGGGCAACACGACGACGAATCGAAGTACCCTTGCCCTTTCCAGGTTCCTTTCAAAGTCTTAAAGTGGCGCTTTCATCGGGCTGCACTTGCCCTTTTGGTTTGCAATCGTCCTTTAGTTTGCAAACGGTGGTTCCCTTGGTCCCAACTATACGCAGGTAAATTTGGGTAAAAAGTACATGGCGCAGTTCCAGTTTTTGGTTTTTATTTAAATCTTGCTTCACTGACCCAGGGAATTGGACCGGAGCTGACCACACCAGGAGATGCTTGCCAAGTTCGTGGAGGGGGAGGAAGTGAAGCTCACCTTGCAGCACGCAAGGCCGGGGGTTTTTGGTCGGGATGGGATTAAAAAGCTGCAGCTGGTGCCCTGGGTCTGCAGATTTACTAAGCTTGCTAAAACCATGGATTTACGACGGAAGAATTTGCGTAAATTGCGTGGTAAATATTGATTATTATTTTTGTTTAAGAGGTGCCTAATCTGGGTGAACATGTACTTAGCCTTGCTGAAAACAAGAAGGCCAGCCCTACTTCTGGGTGTGAGAGCAAGGCTCCAACAGCGACGGAGCACACAGGATTTCACGAACGCCACAGCATTCGCAACCTAAGGAAAGGATTCAGCGCATGTAAAGTTGTCAGGGCAGCGCGCATCCAGACTTGTTCGCCGTGACAAACATGCGGCACACATGAGCGCATCCAAGTAAAATCAAGATCTTATTGAGGATTGTTCCGCAATTTCAACTAGCTTATACTGACACCCCATTGATTTTGGATTTCAAACATAAAAGACAGTCCCAGTCTGCAACAAAGGCCAACAAGTGAGATGTGTGTGTGTGTGTGTTGGTCGAATTTATGCATATGTCTCATGTACTCCTGTTTTTTGCAGTCTGAACCAGTTCCATCAACTTTCCAGGACCTTTCCATGAACTGTCCATGAACTTTCCGTGACGTTTCCATGAAGTTTCCAGGAAATGTTCAGGAAGTTTCGAGGAAGTTTCCATGAACTTTCCTGGACGTGTCCATGAACTTTCCAAGAAAATTCTATGCATTTTCTATGCATCTTCTTATCACTTACTGTACATGTTTTATGCACTTTGTATTTCTATGCATTTCCTATGCATGTCTCACGCACTTTTGACTGTATTCTATGCACTTTCTATGCACTTTTAAGAGTGGATTACCATTGCATAAGAAATGAATAGAACATGCATAGAAATTTCATGGAACTTTAACACAACATTCATAGACCATGCATAAAACATGCGTGGAACAGTCTTGGACGATTCATGGAAAGTTCCTGTCAAGTTCATGGACAGTTCCTGGAAAGTTCCAGGAAAGTTCATGGAAAGTCCATGGACAGTTCCTGGAAAGTTCCTGGAAACTTGTTACAAAGTTGGTGGAAAGTTCATCGAAACTTGCTGGACAGTTCCTGGACAGTTCATGGAACGCTTCTGAACAGTTCCTGGAAAGCTCCTGAAAAAGTCATGGGAAGCGCCTGCAAAAGTCATGCAAGCTGCAATCAAAGTTCATGGAAAGTTCATGGAAACCTCCTGGGCACTTCCTGGAAAGTTCATGGACAGTTCCTGGAAAATCACTTGGAACTTCCCCGAGCACTAAGCACTAGGCACTAAGCACCAAGCGCCAAGCACAAGCAAGCAGGCCTGCAGGCAAGGAAGCACAAGCAAGGAAGGAAGGAAGCACAAGCCAGCAAGCCCAGCTCACCATGTTGCCCTCAGGTTTTAAGCCATGGATGCGAACTTGTGATGGCCCTGTGCTCCAGCACCCCCCCCAGCCCCAGGTCTAATTAGAGGACTCGCTTGCCAGGCACTTCTCCCTGAACTTGAAGAGGAATGGCCAGCCCCTGGGCCTCGAGGTCCAGGCGGTGGAGAATTTGGGGGTGGTCATCCTCAACGTGAAGGCGCCGAATCGGTTCCGAAGCCGGGATCGGCCCAAATTCGACCAAGAGCTGGTGAGTCCATGGCCTGAGGGGAATGCACGCTGGGCATGTGGAAACAGAGCCATGCAATTCGTCCACTTAGTTCTGCACAGGTGGGAATGGGTGTAGCCTCTTTGCTGGATAGATAGTCAAAGGGAATCACATGCAACTATAGAGCTCAGCAACTGGACCATCAAAGAAACACCATCAGGGTTAGAGATGGTTGGGGGTTGGAGAGCAGTTTTTGAGGGGGGCACCATATGCGCACTGTGGTATGTTCAAGTTTCACTGCCTCACGAACAAGAGTCTCCAGTTTGACGTTCATGTTCCATGGTTGCAGGTAGTTTGCCTTCAGGTTGGTTTGGTGGACAAGTCTCTCCAAGAGGTCCACCGATGACCCTTCCAAGACAAAGGCGGGAAACCTATCAGATTTGGTTCCTTGAAACGACAATGATGTTTCAGGGGGTAGAGTTCTATTTTGGTTTGTTTTCGTGGGGGCAGGTATCCATAATATCTCACCAAAATATCCCAAAACTTAGAAGCTGCAGGTCATTTGCAGGCCTCATGGCATTCGTGTTTTGCGTGGAACCAGCTACTCAACATTCCCATCAAACGCCCCAAGTACAACATCACGACCATCACATCCAACGGCGCAAGTGCCCTTCGGCTCATCGTTTGAAGCTGTCGCCATTGTGGGCCTCGTGCCCTCGGTGCTCGTCTAGCGGCCTTCAAGGAAGGCACGTTTCAGCAAATCGGCGGCACGGTGTTCTCAGATGTACGTTGGTTTCTTGAGCGCCACGGGGCAACTGGCATTTTTGCTTTTGGAATTGGGCCAGTTGGGGGTAGTTTGCACATATAGCACCCTGTTCGTTTTTGAGTGTGCATTTGAATTTATGAAAGAACAGGACGCTTCCCTGCAAATGTTGCATGTAACAATGTAGCTCCAAGAAGGCATCCAAATCCCAAACGGGAGATTCCTCAACCAGAGCTGATTTTGGGGTTCCATGCAAACCTGGGAGTGGAATGGGAGCCGCATTTTCTTTTTTGGGCCGCATCTCGCATTGTGCCAAAACCCCATTTGCCATTTCAGCTGGCTCCGCAAAGTCTGTATGAACAATTGAAAACAATACAAATCAACAAGCAAGCACGTATCAGTACAAACAGAAACAAGTCACCGGATCGGTTTTCAGGGGCGCTCCTTCCGCAGGAGGGCATCATGGAGGACTACAACAAGACCGGAGCAGGCACTGCCATCGAGGCCATGGACGGTCCTCCCGTGTCCTCGTCTCCTTGTCTTAGCAAAGTTAGTACCACCAGAACCTAGAAACATACCCCTGAAGGATACGCAAAAAAAAGGAGCAAGTCAGGGGTAAAAAGGCCCTAAGTGTAGTTTAATGAACTGTTTCCTTCATTGGGGTTTGGTTTGGGGGTCGGGTCAGTGGGGAAGTCTTCGACTGGCCACAAGCACAAATTGTGCCGTTTTTTCCAGGGCCACTGCTGGGAAGCGAACCTATCCTCCAAACCAGGATTCAGAGGGCGGGGAAGTCAATTGAATGGACCCAGCCCCGTATTTTTCAAGAAGTATGATGTGGATATGTTTGCTGTCTTTTCTGAATGGAGAGGGTGGAAATTGCCATGAAAGGACCACCACTCGTTTTCGAGATTCGCAATATGACTACGATTTTTAGCGGTGGGACTCACTCACTCACTCAACAATGCTTGGCTGCAAAAAGCAATGCAGATACCGTGTCGTCCACCAGAGGGTGGCCACCTCCCCCCTCCCACGTGTGGCTGAAGCAAGCCATAGTTTGCAAGGACATTGATTGGGGACTGCCGCAGCTGTTCTTCGCAATGGGAACAGACAGTTTGCACATGGCTACATAAATCCAGAGCAGGGCGAACAAAAAACCTACATGCGCATTACTGCCCGCAACTGATGTACAGGAGTCACAGTTGTATGAGAACTGACCAATCAACCCGGATTGGGGATTGGGGGTGAGATGTGAGGGCTTCTTTTTTTGGGTAGTCAGGCGAATTCATCTTGGTCTGTAGCCTGCTTGGGTTTTGCTTTGCTTTGCCTGGCTTGTTTTCTTTCTTGTTTGACTGCTTCTCCTCGAGGCATACTCCTGCATCTATGCCGTGGATGGCAAGGAATACAGCAGCCGGCGCCCAAAAGAAGGAACCAAGTGAAGTGTCAGTTGAATACAACCAGGTTGCTTGAGCCAAGACCACGGCAGCGATTGGATGATTGGTAAAGGCCTCGCCCTACCTTTCAGGGGGCGTTTTACTTAAGTGGTTAGTACGCCTGGGTGTATCCGACTTATGAGATTTCTTCAATGTTAAGTGCTTATAACCCTGGCTGTGGGTTATAACCAGGGTCACTACCCACTTACATTGCCCCTTGGCCCCTTGGCCCCTTGGCCCCTTGAAGCCTTGAAGCCTCGAACGCCTTGACTTCTTTTCGGCTGGGGCCAACGGTGGCTTCTTTTCGGCTTTCGGCCAGGTTCCCGACCCCGGAAAACACGTTTGGGTATTTTGATGTTTCTCGCGGGGCGTGAGGGTATATCCGTGTACCTAGGTTTACTAGCTGGTAGTTGGAAGGGGGCTGCGGACCTGGGGGTATCCAAAATTGCTTTTAAAGATGGAGCGTTTGGGAGCTACCAGGAGTTCTTGTTGAAAAGGGACTATCACTAGTTCGGGAGTCTCCCTGCGGATGGTTGCAAAATCCATCCAACGCACCAGCGTTCAGAAACCCTGGAATGATTCGATTCCAGAAGTGGTTTTAAGCGTCCCTGCTTTGGGCCGGGTTGGAAGGGAAACCAAAAGGAAACCAACCATTTTGAGGGGTCCCAATCTTTGACACGCACAAATGTCTTCAGAGGCTAAGGCCAAAAGCTCACTTCGCGAAGCGAGCTTTTGGTTTGCTTCAGCTTCAACCAGCTTGGGCCAAGATTTGCATTGGACATCCAGGCCGCTTTGAGCAAGTGAGAGTCTGCAGGGGTTGTCTGGGCTCCCATGCCGAGGCCATGGGGTGCTCCGAATGGTCCAAAAGATGGATGAGCTGAACTTGCTCTTCCGCGCTTGGCCCAGCCAATGAGAGAAACCTCACTACGCTCAGTCCCGCCGCGTGATACGGAGAAACGCCCGTGTCCGTTGCGCGCGCCTCAACCGTTTCACGGGGCTGCAAGGCCCCAGGCCACCCGGTGGCTCAACGAGAGAGCCTTTTCAATGATCCATGTCTGTTCCCATTGGGCTGGGTTGCAGGTTCAAGGGGGGTATCCAACCACTTCTCTGATACAAGGGAATCCCCTCTTTCTATGGGGGAAGAGTCTTTGGGAGGCCTTTTTTTTTTGGGGGGGGGGGGTTGTATCACAGAAGTGGTCATGTCCCACGGGTCTGGGCTTGTCTTGTTTTAGGATATCCACTTTTTTGGTTGTTTGGAACGGAAACCAAAAGGAGCACCACCTTTGTTTTGGGGGGGGATCCCTTAAAAGGCACACACACACACGCCCAAATGACGGCCCTTTGGTTTTCAGGTCCAAGGGGAGCAGCGAAATCAGCTCAGTTGCCAAGGGGGCCTGGAGTGAGACAGGCTTCATACGGGGATTGACTTAGAGCTCTTTGGTTGCAGTCATTCTTTTAGGGGCAACATGATGGTGCTTGTTTACCCATATCAAATAGCCATGACGAAATGTGGTGTCAACGCACCCCATAACGCCATTCCAAGTATTTAGCGCCTATTGGCAAATTGGGCATCTTGTCTGCCTTGTGCCTCCGACTCTCTTTGCCATTGGTCCCGACTGCCCAACCTTGAGCCGAAATCCTCGCCAAAGGTTGCATGTTTCGACACACACACACACACACCAGGGTTCCCAACTGGGGTTCCTGATTCCAACACCGGATGGCCAAAGTTTTCGGCCCTTTCTGCTGGAAAGCCCTGTAGACTTCTGAACTCGATTGGGCGGAGCAAAGGAGCACTTTAGATGGCTGGCGCAGTCCAGGTTGCATGAGGAGAGAATTCCCTGATTGTATGCAATGTTGCCTCATGTGGTCTGCTGCATGTTGCCTACGGTGTTCCTGGCCAGTCGTACAGCTTTTAGTGCAGGCACATCCCCAAAAGGCCGGCCCCAAGTGCTCCTCGGACTCCGAGCCTGCTGGTAGTTGCCAAGACGGTGAAACCGCTGCGAGAAGCTTCACTTGCCCGAGCCTGAGCCAGCCAACTGCCACTCATGCTCCTAAGCTGCTTTTGTTTTTTGATCCGCCCTGACGCTCCATTCCGGCGATGTGTTGGGCAGGCTTTGGGTGGGCGATCGCCGACGGTGTCGCTGGTAACCCGCTTCCTTTTCTGCGCCGACTTGGGCCGGGGCCACTCGACGGTGACCTCCCCCGGTTCGCCAGTCAGGTCATAGACTCTTAAACTCAGACCACTCAATGTGGAGTGAACGTGATCACCCTCAGTTAGCCGACCCTTTCATCCATCTTTCCCTGGTGTTTGTCATGGCCCAAAAGCTTCATCTCCCATTGCCCGGCCAGGAATCCAATTTCCCAGAAGGTCCCTTGGTACCTCATGAGAATGGGTTTTGAGGAAGTGCCTCCACAGAACGCACTTGAACCCTCTGGGTTTATGATAACTGGAGTTCAGGTGCAAGCGCTAAGTGAGTGACCGACAGGGATTTGACCTTCACGCCTCGGCGTAGAGAAGTCACTGAAGTTCGCCTCAAACAATTCTAGGGGTTGATTCTTTTCCATTATTTTCAACCATGGTTCTTTTCAAAAACCGGATCTGTTTCCCCAAATTGTTGGGTGGCTTTTTGGAAAGAAGGATGCCTGGAAAGAATGGGGAAGGTAACCCTAGAACAATGCGATCACCTCCTTGAAGCTGGAAAGAGGCCGATTGGACGAGAGGGGAAGGAATCTCCTGGCCCAAGCTGGGTGGCTGACAGCGAAGCACGATCACCGTTGTTTCTTGTTTTTCTGGTGAGAATGTCGTTTGTGTTATTTGAATTGCCATTCCTGTTGGTGTGTATTGGCTGGTGAAAGGGGTGTGTTTGCTGGGCTGCCCCTTCAGAAATCCAGGCACCCGTTTGGAGGCCCTGCGGGCTTGGGCGTGCCAGAGAGCCCGAGAGTTTGTCCACGTGTTATCGATAATTCTATCTACCTGGACCTTCATTCGTTACATAAATTTGTGCCCCTTGGGTGTTTCGTTGCAGAAATTTGCTAGTCGGGCGTTTTTCGGGGGAACGCGCACAAATTTGGATTCGAGCATTTTTGGCTATTGCGGCGGCTTCTCTCTTCTCATGTAGTCTGTTGCGTGGACACATGTGGAAACATACCCGCAAAACGGGCGCAAATACCCGCAAAACGAGCGCAAATACCCGCAAAACGAGCGCAAACCCAAAATATGTAACAATTAGTATTTTGCAAGAAACCCGTGCTCATGAAGCGAGCATTTTTTGGGGAACGAGCACTTTTTGGATCATTGGGCAAAAATAGTTGCCCCGAGCATTTTTCTTTCGTGACACAAATTTATGTAAGAATGGAAGGTCCCGGTACTTAAAGGTGCAGGGCACGTCAGCTAAGTGGTTAATTAGGAACCATGGTTCCACTTAGGAGGCTTGCAACCATGGTAAGTGGGTCATAACCATGGTTACTAGCCACTTGCCTGGCGCGCCGATCGCACTTCAAGTATCCATGCACCAACTTTCACACGATCAGCCGACCAACCGATATCCCATGCAACAGCTGTTCTTAGCTTCGAGGGGCTTGTTGGAATTGACGGAAGGGCACCACCAGGAGTGGAGCCTGCGGCTTAATTTGACTCAACATGAGCCACAATCAAAACCTGGGTAGATGAAGGATAGTAAGGGACAATCCCAACCATAAATAGCTACGGATATCCGCCTTCTCAATTCGTTACATGGTTCTGGGTCGACCATTTCTGTAGCGATCGGTTTTGATTATGACTCACATGGGGAAACTTACCAGATGAAAATGAAGGTCACGTGGCGCTCCGGAAGCTGCAGCCTCTTACCAGGGGCTGAAAAGAATCCAAGGCCGAAGTTTGTGAGATGGGTTTGGCCTTGAAACGCGGATAGCTGAAGATCATATGCGCCTGCCTGCCGAATGATACCGCTATGCCATTCAGAACCCAAAAAGCCAGAATTGTTTTTTTCTTCTTCTTTCTTTCTTTTTTTTTGGGGGGGGGGTGCCCACCAATTCAACAAACAAGCCATGAGTTTTCACCACGGTTCGCTGCCAGTGCCCCAATTTGTCACGCCACGCGCATGAGGTGCGTGGCAGGGCATGGCCCGACGGTTAGGAGCGCCTCCGCTTAGCAGAGGTTGCTCCCGCGGGACAACTCGAGTGGCTTGACCGATTGAGCGGCCACTGAACGGCGGCGACGACCTCACGAAGATGAGGCCATCAAGTGGAATCAATCCTTGTCCAGTTCTATGCCTCTCTGTCGCAACCCATGGCCCCGCAGTTTTAGATCATTGTTTCCGGAGCTGGTGAAGTTGTATGAGGGTTCCAAGGATGCCGGAGCGTGCGCCGTGGTTTTGCTGAACGGCCAAATGGCCGGCGGAATCTCGATGCCTGAGCAAAAGCGGAATCCGTGGCGCGGCCCTCCTGGAGCGCGGAGCTGGCGGACAATTTTTGTTTCTCGCCCTCAGAACATGTGGGCTCTGAAAACACAAGAAATGTGGGGCAACCCGGAAACATCCCTTCTACATGTAGCCTCAAGCTTGAGTACTTCGAGTGAGGCTTGCCATGTGAGTGACTTTACTTGCCCAGACTGAATCGAGCTACAGACCTTTAGGATGTCCAGGACTTGTGGATCCCAATGGGCCAGCGGTTATTTTCCACTCTGCACCTCAAGCCAATTTCAATTGACTGGACGAGGCTCCTCAGGATAAATCCGCAAGAGCCCCCAAACGGAGCTTCCTTTCAATACGGGAGGTTGGTGCCAATGTGTCCCACAGAAATCTGTACCCAGTCTTGGCACTGTTTCATTTGGACTCCGTTACCCCCCGAGTTCCTGGACTTTACACTTCTTGCAGAAAGTTCTGAGGTCCGCCTGCTTAGACTTCTGCCTGAGCTGCCGCACGCCAGCAAGCGAAACGGGGAAAACACACTGAACTTAAAGACTTGACTGCTATTGGCTTCGATCTTTAGACTTTAACTTTTTGGGAAATAAAGGGATTTTCCACTAAACCCCCAAAAAGTTAGACTTTTTGCTCAGGGGTCAACAGCAACCAAGTATGTATATATATATATATAACATATTTATCTCTCAGCCCTGGTTAAACCCACCCCTTGGCTTGGGCTTGGGCGGGTCATGAGCCCCTTACTACTGGATAGGGTTTCGAGTCAACATGTACAGGGGTCCTTCCAAGGAAGTCGTGACCATGACTGACATAGGAATCTCAAATGGGCGTGTCTTGTTTCTCGGGCACCCTTGCAGTGACTTCACGACGCTTCGGAAGGCGGCAGTTTCAGGCGGGTCTCCAATCTGTTTTTCCAGCATCCCGGGCCGTTTGTTTCTAACCGACAAAGATGGAAACAACCGTCCACCCTCAGCTAAACCAGCGCAAATTGGGTGGCTTTCTAAGGAGCAATAGTTTGGCAACGGCGCAATGGCAACCCTAAACTTGGCCTTAACTACCCCACAACCTCCAAGCACATTGCAAACTCCTTGTCATGTTGACCCCTTCCTCAGTGAATCCGCAGAAGCTACTTGGGTGATGTGTGCGTGTCTAACTTTTGAGGCGCTGTAAGGGACACCAAAAGGAAAGCCACAAAATCGGCTGGGGAGGGGGTCCAAAACCCGATTTCGGCGTACGGAACAAAAAAAGTCAGGCATTCCACAATCCCCGATCTTGGCGTCAGGACAGCCAGCCATTTCCAGTGAGCCTAAAGCGGCGCCAAAGCCGACGCCCCTTAGAGGGCACTCCAGGCCCTACGACCTGATCTGGAAGAAGAGCCGCAAGCTGCTCATGGCCAGCGGCTTCGCAGGCTTCACAGTTTGGGCCCGGGATGCCCAGGAGCCAACCACGGCGCGCCCTGGGTTTCTTGTTTTTTCTTTGCTTTTTTTTTTGGGGGGGGGGTCGGGTCGGTGTTTCTTTCTTTTGTTTCCTCGAGGGGGATGAAATTGACCATGTGTTGTGCTTCTTTTTGGATGTTCCGTGGAGCTTCTTTGTTTCGCGTGTGCTAAAATACTTGTGATGCCTTTTGTTTGTTGCACCAGGAAACGGAAATCGTGTTTCTAGTGTTGTCTTTGTTTTTGCCAGGCCCTCTTGTTGACACGGTTGAGCCCGGCCGGCAATTGAGCGAGTTCGACTAGATCCCGATATAACTTGCTGGTTGCAATAAGTAGGGAACGACCGAGCCCGGGTTTTGGCAAAAATCGGAAGGTGAGTCGGTGAGTCCCTAAGCCACAGGGAGTAGTTTAGCGATTCATTCCAGCTCAGGAGGGCAGGGGTACACAGACATGCGCAGATTGTCAGAAGCCTTTCCTTTGGACCGTGCCCGCCAAGAGGAAAACATGGCCTTTGCTTTTCGGGCTGCTTGCTGTTCCCCATAGGTTCCCTTTTGGGAAGGAAAAATGAAGGGATTGCAGGGATTGCAGGTTCATAGCCGTTTAAAATCATGCCCATCTCGTGCAATGCAATGCGCGTGTAAGAAACTTGACCTGGGCGCTTCAGAGCGTGTCCAGCGGTGAGGTGATTTGCGCGGCGCTGTACTATTGGTTCGAGACGGACAACCCCGAGATGATGTACTGCCCTGCTCGGGCCTCGATTTTTCAAGGGACAAAGAAAGGGCAGGGCCTCAGCCTATGCGCAGTGAAACCTCAGACTCTTGGAGTTGCTAGGGATGGTCATGGATTTTCCTCACTCCCTGACTTCCTGGACTTAATGTTTTTGGGGAAGACGGTTTAAGTCGTAAATCAAAAGTTTGGATTTTTAGTCGCTGCCCTTTCCACTTTGCCCAAACCCATTTTCCGGGATGTATGCCATTTTTTGTTTTTGCGGGGGAGTGTTCCACGCCAAGTTCCTAAAGGCAGGATACCCCTGGCCCAGATCAGACATTTGCGTGAAGGCATTTTGGGGGCCGGCAGGGTACCTGGAATTCCATTGGTTCCATGGGAAGACTGGATAAATGGAATTTGCTCCCCCCCTCCCCCTTAAGGTGGTGGCGATATAACAAGTTGTCTTCATCATTCTATGACGCTTTGGCCAGGCACGTTAGGTCTTGGCCCCCGCCCTCCACTAATCGCGCCTCTGTTTGGTCAGCAATTTGATGGTGGCTCATCAGCAGCTTTTCTTTGGTGCATTTTGCTTGGAGTTAGGACGTCAACTTGTTGCCAACAAATGGGTGTTCCGTTAAACCACTAAAAGTCATGTTTTTAGCAGGGGAGCAAAAAGCACCCGAATTTTCGTATCCTCCACTGGTCGCGATTCGCAGGACGACGCTTTCGAGAAGCACCACGCCTGCTGGAACCGGTTCCACTCCATCCCCGCCGCAATGCTGGGGGCTTGGTCCGGGCAAGGCGAAAGGTGAAACGAGCCAGCGACGGCCCGGGCCACGCCATGTGCAAAAACCCCTTTTTGAAGCAGCGCAAAAGGTGCCCGGTTTGTGGCCCGGACCATGAAAGTTGAGAGAATCTGTCCAGGGGTAGCGCATGAAGTACCGACTTTGGTCTCCTCACGTGAGTACTGTGTGAAAACAGATGAAGTGAAATCACGCGCCTGGTTTAACCACCTCCTTTCCCAGCATGTTTTTTTGCATGAAGCCGTTTCATCCATCATGTCTGAAGAGTCTATCCGTGCTCCTGCGCACATGTGGAAAATGACAGAGCCCCACTTTGGAAACCACTTTTGAAGGGTCACTCTGATTCTTCCAGTTTCCCACCGACCTTTTAACGTTGTGGTTGCCTGTTTGGGCATGTTTGATTTGCAGCTCCTTGCGAGGGGAGTCATCTAAGCGCCGCAAGAAATGAGCTAGAGTTTGGCACGTTTTGCGCCACAGGGCTCACCCGCATGGAGAAAGATAGTCAACCCGAAAAGGCCCGCAGGTTTTGGCAGCTTTGCCTGAGGTATTACTCGGTCTTGAACTTCTTCGGTGAGTTCCCCCTGGCAGACCAGCACTCGCTGGGCGGACGCTTTGTGGGAGGATTCATCCAGGCCCACAGATGTGATCCTGCAGTTCTGTTCCGTTGAATGCTCGCCCCCCCCCCCCCCCCGCAACAAGAATCAGGATGTGCTGCATGGCTCTAGAGCAATTTAAACAAGCATGGCTCAGTGTCAACCCACCGAAGCACACAAGGGCTTGTCTTTTTAGAGGACGCCCAAAATGGATTTCGGTTGTCCTTTTTGGCTTCCATTTAAAGCCATTGAAAAGAGTCCAAACAAAAGGTACTCTCCCACAAATTGACACATCCACCATACTGTGGATGGACGAAATCCTTCATCACCCAAGAAGCCCTAGAATGATGATCCCCCTGGTAAATACCAACAAACAATGGTTTCAAAGTGGTGCGAAATGGATTTCGTCCATCTACAGTAGCATTACACACACACAAAAGGAAAAGAAAGACAAATAAAAAAAAAGGGAACAAAAAAGAAACCAACACGCGCTTTGTTCAGGTGATGGGCGCGGCAGTGATGGCCATCCCCGCGGGCGCGCTGGGCAATGCCTTCTCGGAGGTGGTGGAGAAGACGGTGCAGGCGTGCCTTTTCGCCCCGTGAACGGGAAAAAGCAGGCGCGAGCTCAGCTCCTGAGTTCCGAGGCTCGGACTCTCGTCACTTTTGGGTTTGGACCAGTTGAGTTGCTCCTGGTAAACATCAAGTTTGGCAACTTGGGTGTACCAATCCACTCAGGAAGCGAGGGCCAGGTGCAGAATGAGCCCCCGACGGCTGGGGGGTTGATTTGTTGTTGCTTTTGCTTGTGGATGTCAGGTTTTCTCAGTTTGCTTGGCTCAAGTTTGCCGCCCTCGCATTTATCACACTGGCCGTACTTAGATGCATGACTTGATCTCACTGCCACTCGAACTAAGAGCACCTTCGAAGCTGATGTGGATGATTTTCTTCGTTCGTGGTGAGACCTTTGAGCAACAAGCGTCAGCAAGCGTGAATTGTAGGTTGCTTCGTCCCTTTGCAGATCAACATTGAACCCCAAGCCGCACTGTATTTGACTGCTATTGGCTTGGATCTTTAGACTTTAACTTTTTGGGAAATCAAGGGGTTTTCCACTAAACCCCCAAAAAGTTAAACTTTTTGCTCAGGGGTCTCGCCAGCAACCAAGTGCAATCTGCAAACCGGATGTTTTTTTCAGGAGGAGGAGCCGGAGGGCCCAGAGAACGACGAGGAGGCCCAGAGGTCCAACGGCAAACCCAAGGCGAGGACGCTGGCAGTCACCACCGGTGTCCTTCTTCTTTTTTTTGGGGGTTGTTTGGGTAGAAATGGATGGGTTGCAACGGTTTAGATGGGCTTTATGCCATCCATTTATCAGGGAAACCCATGTATTCTTTGGCAAAAGCACGCCCATCTCACCTGTCACCTGGTCCCGCCAAAAGTGTGGGAGGAAGGCTACTTTTGGCAGGCGCCGGCCAGCGGTTTTTGGCATGCAATCAGGCCCGTCGGTGTTTCTGTGTTTTTGTTTTGCCTTTCGTGGCATGATTTGATTTGTCAGGTGGTTTTTTGATTGTGACAGCACAGTTGTTACCCTAGAGAAAAGATGGGAGCAAGCTTCAGGGGAGATGAACAGGGCAGACCTTTGGGCAGGAGTGGGCTGGTCACGTTCTTGTCTTCTGGCAAAATGATCGATGGACATTGCCACCTTGCCCCTTGTTCCTTCCTCACTGCCGGTCAAAATGATGGCGCATCCCGACCGGGTCTTGAGCCATTGCACTCGGCGTATCTTAAGGCAGGGAGCGTGCACTTGCCGCTAGTGAGAACCACTTGAGCTGGGTTTCTTTGTTTGCTCTTCGTCATTCAGAGCCGTTCCCGTTTATGAAAGCAGCCCTGCCCTTGACACCGGCATCAGCTTGAACATCGGCCACTTTCCCTATCCTGGTGACACTTTGCGCCACCTTTCAAGTAGGTCCCCCAGCAGGTGACTACTCTCCATTCATGAGAAATTCCTTATTTTGAAAGCACGCGCCCATGTGGGTTTGTATCAAAGTAAGGGACCCTCAAACTTTGTGGTGTGCTATTTGGTTTCCCTTTGAAACCACCCCGAAAAAGGGCATAATCACAAGAAAGACACCCAAATGCTGACAGCAGCCCATTTTCCCCGGTGGGTCCCAACTTCTTTTTCCCCGCTTGGCGCTCCAATTGCTTCTCGCCAGATGGGAGCCAGCCTGATCCGCTGCCTCGACGGCGAGCGCGAGGCGAGCGGATTTCGACCCCTCGAATCCCAGAGACAAATCCACGACTCTTTAAGGAGTTCGGTTGAACCTCGTGGACATCCAACTAATTCAGCTGGTGGTTCCGAATGTTCCCTTTGAGTCAACATTCGGGGATACCAATTCCGCTAATCTAATCAACCCAGCCCCACTCGCATGGCCGCAGGTACACTCCCGGCAGATCACGGAGGACTTTGCAGTGGACATGGCAGATGTTTGGTTTGGGCTGAGCGCGCGGCTCTGAGTTTGAAGCTTCCCCAGAATTAGCTCCCCGTTTTTTCTTGCTGTTTTTGGGGTCCCTTTGCTTTCGACCAGGCAAAATCGATATACTTTTTTTTTGGGGTCCTAATTCCAGCCTAGGAAGGTGGAATTGGCCGGTTCGGCCTTCGAAAGGGATCAATGGGCCTGCGGTGTCGGGTTGGGGTCCCTGAAGGATCGATCACTTTTGTTTTTGGGTGAGCGAGCTCATCACGCACATGTCCAGCAGGTTGCTTTGTTTGCAATCCGTCCTTTGGGAGGTGAGCAAATGTTGGTTTGCGTAAGGGCGAGCTCTATGTTCGCCGCCCTCAGCGGGAGTGAGGGGAATGTTCGTTCAGGGCTAGCGAATAAAATCAAGTGGAAAAGCGCAGATAGCATGAGACACTTGATCGAAATGTGTACCCTTACCTCTTGACTCCCCAGCCCTAGTCACCAGCCCCATGCCGTTCCATAGGGTCTGTCTTCCTTTACAATTTGCTTTTTAGGTTGGTTTTAAAGGAACACCAACAGGACACTTACCATTGTGGGGGTTCTCTAATTTTGAAACACACACTTTTGGTCAAAACGAGGCTGGCAGTTCCGTAAACTGGGCCAAACTGGCACATGCCCCTCACAAGCCAGATGTTCATAGTGACATGACACTTGCCCAGGGATGTGGGTGTAGCATGGTTCGCACCGTGTTTGATCTTCATCAGTGCTTCCCTAAGCATTTGGAGAAGGTCGAAGCCAGCTTCCTTTTCCTGTGCCCGGAGGTAAGCAACAGTTCTGGCCAAGGGCCAGGTCAGCCACCCTGTGAACGGGCGGGTCATAAGTAATACAGTTGGGGTCTGGGATCCAGGTGGGGGAGAAACTGTGGGTGGACGAAATCGTGCACCACTCTTGAAACCATGGTTGAGTAATTATGTCATTGTCGGTTGGACTTACAGGAAAATAATCATTCCAGAGTTTCGTAGGTGGTGCAGGATTTCGTCCATCCACGGTATGATTGGCTCGACTAGCTCCTTTGGGCCTCTCCTAGGTCTGAGCAGTTGGGGTGACAATGAATGGCACAAGTCGGCCGGTTAGACAACATCATCAGCAAAGGGCATGACTGCAAAATGCTTCAAGCATCAGCACAGGCAGAAAGTACATGTTTGCCCAGAAACAGTTGGAGGCAGATTTGCGTAGCTGTGAAAGCTGGTTAGACGTGAGTGCAAGCTTGCAATGGAGCATGGCCCTTTGGGGTGGGTCCAGCTTTGAGTTTCTTGCTGGATGCTGCTCCGGAAGTTTCATGAATTACTGCTCGAATTTGGTCGACTCTTGTCCATCAACCCTCCAAGAGCGAGGATTTCTTCATATCCAAGGTCCACTCAAAACCGCGGCGCTGAGGCTTTTCTAGTTGCCGCCTCCTCCCTCCACTTCATCCTAGGCGCGGTGCCTATTTCAGTGATATCACTGATAGAGCGAGGGTTGGTCTGATTTTGCATGAACCCGCAGCAGGATGCAGCTGGGAACGGCAGTTGAGCCAGCCTTTTGTAACCAGCAAATTTGCCAAGGATTAAGACAATGTGTAGGGACCGGCGCTCTAGGTGCTTGCTTGTGAGTCATGTCAGGCACGCTCAAGCACCTTCCTTCTCGGCTGGATGAGCAAGGACCTGAGTCTGAGGACGCAAGGGGAGCATCCATGAGCCTCACCTGAGCCACAATCAAAACCCGGGTAGATGAAGGTTACTAAGGGGCAGTCCCAGCCGGAACTAGTTGCGGATATCCGCCTTTTCAGTTCCTTACATAGCTCTGGGGATCGACCATTTCTGTACTCTGGGTTCTGATTCTGACTCACCTGGCCGACCTTCAGGTTGACTCTTCTCCTCTTCATCCTGGATGCCATTGCCACCCTGGTCTTCTCTGCCTGGCCCTCAGAGATCCAAGTACGTCCCTGGGTTGCAAAGCTCGGCCCTCCGGGGCACGGAGGGGCAGAGGTGGCTTCCAGCAACCAGCAAGCAGGAAGAGCCGGTCATGCGATTGCGTGCGGGAGCAAGAAGACACCCACATCATTGGGAAAGCTGCTAGTGTCACCGATCAAGGCAAGTAAGCGTGTTGGAGTGTCTAATGTATATGGTTGCAGTTGTGTGTTGCGCACACGGCAGCGGCAGGTGGAGTACGGCATCAGGACGGCAGTTGCTGGCAGGGTTTGCCAGTTGAGTTCCCAAACTTGAAACTGGTTATGGTTGCCCTCATCAGCTATGCCTTTCGGGCAGAGCTTAGCCGCTGTCGCTTCAACGTTCCAGGCATTTCTGGGCACACCAAACCGCCGAGCGGCGGTTTTTGTTGGTCTCGGCTGGTGCCGTGGCTTCCATAGATGCGCTCCTTGTTTGGGTGCCCAAAAAGTAACACGGAGGGGAGAATGTAGTAACGTTGTCTGGCGGGAGGCAAGGTGCTGGCGCCATTTTTGCTTTCAAAGAGGGAGCCTTTGGGAGCTAGGAGTTCTGCTTGGGGACATGGTAGTTGTACGCTGCTTTCTGTTTTGGTTGCGCCTTTCCGTGAAGGCGTGGACGCAAACTTAAGACTGGAAGCATTGGACTGCTTCCATATGTGCAATTCAGCCAGTACATCTCTTTTTTGGATGGGTGTGACTTGTTCTCGAAATTTCTGGGGCCAAGTCAGACGGCTGGAGATCCTTTGCCCAGGCACAAGTATCTATTCTAAGCCATTGCTGGAAATCAGCTACCTTGTTCTGACAGCCAGCCAGTTCAGCTGGAAATGTTGGAGGCTTCTGAATGGCTTGCCGTTTTAGTGGGAATTCTGCAGCTTCCCGCGCGCTTGCATCACAAGTAAGAACAAGAGCAAGGTGGTTGAATTCACGCGGTTCCATGGAAGCTTCCAAGACCTCTTAGGAAGACTTGGTTCCATTTCAGAGGTCAATTGAGGGAGCTTGCGGGTGTTAGTCTGAGAGGGCATGCCAATTTTGACATTTGGAGTTATCAAATCCAAGAAGCGTCACTCCGACGCACCCACGAAGTCGGGCAAGCACAAAGACTTGGAAAGGTGACACATGTGGGGGCTCGTTGGTTGTGTGGCCTTGTGGTGTAGCAAGCCCCTCATGAATGTTTCCAAGGCCTTTGCTTCATGGAAGCCCACCGGAAATGACAGCAAGCAACCAAAGTTTCCACTGTGGCCGTTCCCCCTTTCCGTAAATCCTCGCAAACGGGGACCTGGCCAACTCCTGCGAGGATTTGGAAGGCTCGGCAGGCGGGCTTTAGAAGCTCCTTGCACTACATCTTCAGTAGCTTCGGCCTGGTGGATGGCTTGCCCGGTCGCCCAGTACGTCGCGACGGAGTCGGAGTGTCGGCGGTCGCGCCCGTACGCGCCCGTCATGTTGTCCAACTTGAGCGTTGGGGGTGGTTCCTTGTTTTGTTTTTTTGTTTTTTTTTTGGGCAGCGCCGAAAGGGATTTTGGGTTCTTTGGATGTCCCTTTAGAAACAATCCAAAGGGGTTACTCTCAAAAAATATGAATTCCTGAAAATGCAAGGGGCCATGAGGAAGGTCAAAGTTGGTGTAATGTACAAGCCCCCTATGTAGTAACCGGAATTTCTTGGAACCTGCCTGCTTGGCGGCAAGGAGGTGCGCATCCTTGGGCAAGGGTGGGAAAGCGTCAAGTTGAACTTCTGCCTTGGAAGCAGCTTTGGATATCAGCCGCCAAAGGGGCAGCCCGCAAGCATGAAGCCAGGCAAGCCGAGTTCGCCATTCATTGGGGAACTTTGCAGCATTGTTCTAAGAATCCAACTGGCAGTTCGACCAGAAATCCTTGATTATGATCTGTACATATATATATATATATATACACACATAACTCAACATATCTTTATTTGAATACGAACCAAACAGTGAGGTCTACCCGAATACTGTAGCGCCAACAAGCAGCACATCGCACCGTTTGAATGTGCTGGGCCGCGTCCTTCTGGCCAAAGCTTACCACGCCTAGAGGAAACGGTTCAAGAGGCTTTCTGAGGATTGGGCCCTCCAGTGGTTCGGCGACCAGTTCGTCAAAGCCCAGGTTTCGTTCAAGCAGCAAAGCCAGAGTTTCCATCCAGCAACGTCCAAGGGCGCAAACATCAAAACCGCGGCTTCAAGCCAGCAACAACTGTCACCTCTCAAACTGTGAGAAGACTGTTCAATCAAACTGGGGCCTCCAGATGATTTGCTTCGCTTCCCTTAACTGACCCAAATAGAATTCCTGGGGTTGAAGCACTCGGAAGCTACTGATGCCTTAGCCAGCAACGTTTTCTGACTTTGCAGCGAGTTTCAATTTCGGTTTGCTTAAATTCGATGGAGCTGCCACTCGCAGGAGGCCCTGATGTTGCTCTGGTATTTGTTTGCTTTCAATTCCGGAATCCAGTGCTGTCGCATGCGATGATTCAATGGTTTCTAGAGCGACTTGCAACGACTGGGCGGTCCACAGCACTTTGCTGCTAAGTCAAACCAACATAGAATCATACAAGGCCCACAAACAGCGCTTTAAGCAACAATAACTTGTGCTGGGAACAACTCATGTGGACCCTCAAGTCAATTTGCAGGGGGATTTGCCATATAAGCTTGTGCTTCTCCTTCACCTCACTCTAAGGTGTGCGTTGCTGCCTGCGGTCAGCTATGCCCGGCGGCCCCAGCCAAGAATCAATCCACGCTGCGTTTGCGTGCAATTATTTCACTGGAGGTAAGCCCTCAGGAAAAGTCAAGTTCTGATTGCTTTGCGACGGGTTGTCCCCTTTGAAGTTAGCATTTGTTGCTTTTTTGGGCTTTCATGATCAAGGATCTGGGTTTGCTAAGATCCTTTTGAGACTGGTGTGCCAGGCTTCGATGAGTCTGTGGGGCAAGCTTCGTTGCCGAAGTTGAAATGGCTATTGTGATTGGTTGGTCGGCGTCCAGCTTAGAAGATCGGTGCTTCCAGGTGCGATCCCTCGAATTGCTTTGCCTTCAACTGTTGCCAGGAAGCATCATTGCAATGTCTCGCTTGAGTCTGGTTGCAGGTTGCAGCTAATTACTGTAAGCGAATGACGGCCAAAGAGACCAAGCAATGGGAACATGAGGCACGGGACTGTCACTGGGGCCAGTGCTTGGCCTGTCACCTTAGCAAGTCGGGATGTCATTGTGAAAAGCTCGGACAGATCAAGTACCGGTTGTCAAATACGTGGGCGATCTTTTTCTGGTGGGGATGCAGTTGTTTTCTGTGAGCGCGCCCAAAAGCAACAACGCATGTTGCTGACCGGAGGAGTTCGGAAGACATCGTTCGACCAGAACAGGTTGCATGCGGGATTCAAGACGGCAATTGCTTTGTTTCACCTGCCCCCAGATTTCTCGCAGCCGGAAGCTTAATTATTTGGGTCAAGCGTGCAGTGGTCAAAACAACCAGACCTGCAGCAAGCACTGCATGTGCCAGCAGATTGACTCTGTAAGCGCCCCTTCGAGGCATCTATCGATACAAAAACTTGCTTGGGTTGCCAACTTGCTAGATCTCTCCAATTGATAGGAAATTGCGATCAGATTAATGTGCGAGATCAAGTCTAACCAGCAAACGTTTCCGGGTGTTTCTCGAAACTCCATTTACCTGACATGGAACAACTCCCCGTTTTCCCTGAAAGGAGGTTACATGTTCGAACCCTTCTTGCTCGAGGTTGGACTGTTGACCCTCAAATTCAAGAACAAAGTCAGCTTCCCCCTTTCAATAGCCTCACGTCCTGAGTTGGACTCATAGAGCTTTTTGAGCAAAGACCATTTTCGTGGCAAATTTTATTAATGTCTTGACTTTGAAAGTTGGCCCCTCCACCCAGGTTTTTCTGGAGAAGCCCCGAAAACAAAAATGAGTCAGCCTCCCCCCCCATCTCGGCTTTTCTGGAGAAGCCCCTCCACGTTTTTGAGTCAGCCTCCCCCCCGCAGCGATCGCGATTTCTGTTTCTCAGGTTCAGCCCCGGCCCCTCTTCCGGGCCGCGGCCACCTTGCGGATCTTGAAGCTGGACTTCTCGGGGATTGGCTTTTTTTTCCCCCGGAAACTCCTGGGCCGAAGTTCGGGGGTCAGGATTCTGACGGCTTCTGGGGGTTGTCAAAAAATCAGAAACTGGGGCTGTGTCCCTTTAACCCACCACTTGGTGGGTGACTTTGATCATGGTAAAATAATGGGGCCAGGAAGTTCCTGGCTACGAGAAGGGAGTGAGAACTCCGGGGATTCGTTTTTTTTGGGGGCTTCTGCGCCCCAGAATTGGCTGGTGCGATGGCTGGCTCCAGAATTTGGCCGGCCGATTCTTCTTCTGGGGGCTTCTGGGCCAAAGTTTCTGGTGCTTCTGTGATGAGCAAAAAGTGAGAAATGGAAGGACCCCAAGGGAAAACCATTGCTTCTGCCGGGGAAAACTGAGGCAAAGTGCAGTGAAAACCCCCCCGCCCCCCCCCGGCTTGCAGTGAGGGTCATTTCGTTTCCATGCGAAAACGCAAAGAGTGCGTTGGATCCGAGGAAGGCTGAATGTGGTTTCCATTTTTTGTGAGCACTCGGGTCATCTCGGGAGGCAGACACCATCAGCGCAGCTTTCCAAGCCCTGCAAGAGATGGAAAGTGCTAGAAGCAGACGATTCAAGGCGCTACAGAGTTCGCCTAAGATGTGGCCAGCCGTGGCCTTCTTAACTAATCATTCCAGACATGTTGCCAAGTGGGGTACCTTCATGACCAAAGCTTCCATGGACACTGTACAGATTTCAGGATGTCGTGGAAGAGCTCTATTGGTTCCCCAGAACTCCGTGTGTTGCACTGCGCGAGGAAGGTTATTGTTGGTCATTTCCGTGTTGGCAGGAGCGGTATATCGGCGCCTTCAGCGCTTTTAAGCAGATCCTCTGGAATAGCAGGCGCGGGGTTGCTGCTCAAACTGTGGCTGGATACAGCCCTTGTGATCGGATGTCTCTGTGGATGAGGCAATTGTGGACAGGGCTCCTCATGTTCCGATTGAAAATGTCATGCCGGTAGCGGCCAATGATCGTGTTCATGGCCATGTTCAGGCTCAGGACTGGCTCTCGTTCTCGTCGTCGCTGCTGTCGTCGTCATTTGCGGTGCTACATCCTTGCGTCGACGTGTGTGTTTGCTTGGAAGTGATCAGCTTCTTCATAGTCATCATCATTCCCGCCCGTGAGTCAGCGCTAGCGTCGGGCTGCTTTTTCTTCTTGTTCTGCTTCTTCTTCCTCTTTCAATTCCTCTTCCTCTTCTTACTTCTCCTCCTCCTGCTCCTCCTCCTAATGCATCCCGATCACACGGGGCAAACCTAACTTTGCCGAACGTGTTTTCCGTTTTCCACCGGTTGTTGGAACAATCCAGCCGTGGCGAATCCGCAGAGGATGTGCCGATCAGTGTTTGTCGGATCAGTATTCGGGGGGCATCACACATGGCTGCCTTTCGCTTAGATGCTGCGGGCTCGAGGGATTCAATCACGACAAGGCTCTAATGTCTGTGGATGGATTTTGGGGCTTTCCCGCATCTGACATGAACTGTGACAGAAGGCTCAGTATGTTCATCACCCGATGGAAGTGGCTCAAGTCAAAGCCATCAGCTAACCTCCCAGGTGTGGGGCGCTGGGGTGCAACTTACGCCCGTCCCCTCGACAAACAGACAGCCTTGAGACGATGTTTAGGCGTGCTTGGTCTTTTCAGTCTAGAACCCAGTTGAGTGTGCCAGCTAGGGACAGGGGGTCCGGCCCAAAACATGTGGAACGACTCATTCATCCCTTTGAAAGCCCGAGCACCTAGAACTGGCATTTTGGCAAACATCAAGGGTTCCAAGGGTTCCAAGGAAAGAACCGGATGCCACCGGGGCCTCGCCTGCTCAACTTGGTTACGCTGGGTCAATCAAAGGCAGCTCGCTCAAAGGCCCTTGTAAATGCAAGCTTATTAATGGATATGCTTTTCCTGAACTATCATGACCTGTCTAGCACCCAAAATTCCTCCGGCGGAGGGCGGTGCTGTCTGTGACGGGCGGGGCAGCCGCCGTGCTTTGGGCCCGGGCTCCCGGGCCTGGAGCCAAAGGGGCGGGGCGGCAAGCCGCTGACCTTGGGTCTGAAATTTGGTTTGGGCGCCTCAAATTTCGCTCGGGTCCAAGAAATGGTGCTTCTTGTGTGTCTGCGGATTTTCCTGAACATGTCCTCTTGTGGCAAGATGATCCATGCGTTGGGAGAGTCTTTTTCGATAGCAGGAAGTCGACAGGATTCGGCCTTCATCCTTGCGCCTCAATAATTATTTTGACTGGCCCCTTGGTTTGCGTTGCCAGTGCCAACCAGCAGTGTCTCTGCAGCTGAAGGGTTGGCCCGAAGGTTGTCGCTTTTGGTGTTTTAAGCAGAAGGCCTGCCTCACTCGAAAGCATCCGAGATGTGTCACGTTTGAGTGACAGCAAATTGGTTTGGAGTCCTCTTGGAGTCCTTTTGTGCCAGAGGACCCCCAAGGTAAATGTTGTTGACCCCTTGGGCAAACGTACAATACGACTTGAGAGGCAGCGTTTTGCTGGCCCACAGTATTTTGTCTGGTTCGGGTTTGCGCCAGCAACAGGTCAGCTATGGAGGTTGAAGAAAACCAACTCTCTGCATGGCATCAAGGCCACCACTCCCCTTGCTGTGGAGTGAGAGGAGTGGGTGAAGCGTGATTGGGGGTGGGTGCAGGTGATTTTCAGCACTGTGATGTACTACGCGGAGAAGGACAACCCGGATCCGGAGATGGCTTGGCCCTCAGAGACAACCCCTAAGGGTACCCTCAAAAACGATTCGTAGGGAAAAGACACTCTAAGATGGATTCCAGCAGAAAATGTCTTGGCTCCACACGAGCATGAAACCTGGCGTGAGTGGTACGACCCTTCGCAAATTCACAAGCCCTGGGCCGTTGCCACACTCAGTAGTCTTATATGAGGTATGGCAACACTTGGATATGAGGCACGTTCAGAATTACTTGTGTACCCAAGGAGGACAGGGGACACTTTATGTGAATCCCAGTTGTTTCTGTGGGACAATTTAGCGAGTTCCTCCATGTCCAAATAGACTACTCGTAATATTGATGGGCAAGTGATAATTCAGTGAGATCAAACATGCCTTCTGCATGGGCTTTCCAGTCGCAAACCGGGTCTGGATTTCAATTGAGGACCCTTTGGACATCAGATACATGGGCATGTATATCCAAGCATTCAAGAGGGTATTTCCGAATGAAGTCCATCATTATCTCACTTCAATGGATGGATAACCTCAGTTGTTCAGTGACCCTGGAAAAAATGGGAACCCTTTTTGGGAAGACCATTTTAGTGGGGCAGCCACCAAACAAAAAGATGGAAAATTGGTGCCACTGAACAACTGACTAACCCGAAACAAATTCCAAACTGTTGGGTTGCCACTCAGCGATACACAGTGTTGCACTTAACGGGGCGGCATTTTTGTATTTCCAACGGCCTCCAGCCTCGCGCAAGGCATATCCACCGGAGTCAGTTCGCAAGCCGCTTTCCTATCCGGATATCGACTTCATTCCAAAGCCCGTTGCGTCTGGAGAAGCTTTGCATTTGATCTCCTTTCGCCATCTTGCAGGCTGCGCACTACTCCAGCGTTGCGACCTCCATGTGGCTTGGCCCAAGACCGGGTTTAGTTCGGACCGCCACCTCAGCGAACCCTTGGAAACGAGTTCATCAAGTTTCAGCATGGCGCACCCATGTGCACCCCTTGTGGTTGGCGCTGAAAAAGCACGTCCAGGATTCAGCGGAGTTTCCTACATGTAGGGAGCCTCAAATTTTCTTGGCTTCCTGCCGACATCTGATTGAAAAACATCAAACAGTGGCGACGCCAATCTTGGGAAACCTTTGCATCTCCGCCTTTCTGCGCGTGGTTCTGGCGCGGCCCGGATTTTTCTTTCAAAGTCCATGGGCTGACCACACTTGATTTCGGGTTCATCTGGCATTCGGCGGGTGGCGTCGACAGGTGGGTGACGCTGCTGAACCTCTCCGGAGAGGCGCCGCTTTGCGAGTACACCACCGCCGGCAAGTACATCTCAGCTCTCATGGGCCGCTCGCCGGGATTGCTTTTTTTTTTTTCTCGCAGCACCAACTCGCATAATTACCCCAAATGGACATACCCTACCTGTACTCCTTATATAGGGGTATGTACCCTATAAAATCCAGTTTTGGGGTATTCCCCCCTTAGATGTTGAACTAATCCTCAAGAACCAGAGGGGCCTGCATCTCAACTTGGACCTTATCCTATAAACGGGCCGCCGCCGATGCTTTCTTTCAAGACAACCTATCATCTCATTGCCCTTATTCCTCACTGAGAACCGGCAGGCCATGCGGAAAGCTACTTCCTTGGCCACTCTTCTCCGACAGAATGGGTCATCCACCGGGTGGTTGCCATAGGCCCGAAATGGCGCGACAGCGGCCCAACATAAGCTTATGATGTTTAACCGGGCACGCAACGCTGCAGCCGTTTTTACATGTTTCTTGGTGCGTGTCACGAAGAAATCGCGGGGCATTGATGTTGCGTTTGGCCAACGCCCGTCAAGCCTTGTGTTCTGCAGTCATTCGTCTTTTTGAGGACGCAAACACTTGGACAAGTGGCCCCATGTGTGGTGTCGTCTTCGGGACAGGGGCGCTTGGATAAGGCTTGGCCCTATGTCCTGAGAGAGCCGAGGCTTGATCGGCGTTGGCTTCGTCACCATCCCCATGGGCGTCTTGGGTTCGGGCTTTCAAGACCTCCTGGATGAAGACGAAGAGGAGTCAACAGCCGGGACTCCTTTCGGGCGCGCGTGCTAGATCGTCTGAGTCAGGAAAAGGTCGACCACAAAACTGGTTGATCTGATGTGTTTGAAGCAAGGTGGCAAGCATGGAAGGTGCTGATTGTCCCCTCATGTCCCCTCAGCTCAGCAAGGAATATTGACCTGCTGGTGGATCAGAGCCCGGACGGGGAACCCCGCAATTCGGAGAAATTGGCGAGTGGCCATGGTTCATTTGTTTGAAAGGAAGTCTCACTTCCAGAGTTCCTGGACTTTAAACGTTTTTGGGAAGACCATTTTGGTGGTAACTACCAAGTTCAGGCGCTTTTTGGCCAATCCACTCAGGAAGTGAGATGGCACCCGAACAAACAAAATAGACTTGATTGCTATTGGGTTGGATCTTTAGGCTTGACTCTTGTTTTTTCTCGGAAATCAAGGGATTTACCATTTAACCCACCAAAAGTGAACAACTTGTTGGAGAGGTCTCTCCAACTAAGTTCCGTTTTTTCACGGCGCTGGCCTGGAAATGCCGGGTGCACCATCAAGGTAGACCTTTTGCAGCGGCTCGGGACAAAAGACCAGTTGCCACCAAAGCCCGGGGCCCAATAGCTGGCAGTTTTGGAGAGATTTGCATTTTTTCCCTAAGTCTGGCCCCAACCAGGGCCCAAGCATAGGTGCCTTGTTGGGAACATAGATGGCACTGGAAATTGGAACCAAGGGAAGCCGGATCCATCAATTGTAGCCAAACCAAACCAAAATTGGACACCTACGGTCCCAAACTCTTGTTCCAGGTTGATTTTGCCAAAGGGCTGAAAGTCAAACTTGGCTTCGCCGGGAGAATGGTCCCAGAGGCCAAGAGGTCTCTCGCTTGCAAACTTGCAGTCACGTTCTCAATTTCTCAGGGCCTGGGGCCAGGGGAGGAGGTACTGTGAATGGTTGCGACCTCCATGCAACGCATCACCCAACAGGGCTCCTTAACAGACACATGTTGCAACCATTTGAAACATGTTGCTTTTTCCACCAAAATAGAGGGAAACCACCATTTACGAAGCAATGCTCAGGTGTAGAATGTAAGGATCCCTGTCCAAGAAGCCCTAGAATGATTCGATTCCTCTGCAAATACCAACAAATCATCAAAGTGGCGCAGGGTTTCGTCCATCCACCGCATGGGGGAGTGATGTTTGGACGGGGTCTAGTGGACGTGTTCCACCGCAGGAGGAGGAGAAGGCAGCCGCAGAGACAGGCCAGACAGGCAGGGGATGCGGCTTGTGACGAAAGTTCACCGACAGGCCGAGTTTCTTCGTGCGTGGTTTGGCGTACCTGCGACTAGCTTTATTGGTCGCCAGGGGATCAATTGGCAAGATGCGGCTGCTCACTCCCTGGGTTCCGTTTCGGACTTGATCGTCACTTTTTGGGTTTGGAACATGTGAGTGGTAGCCAAAAGATGGAACCTGACAGACTGTGGAACGTCAGGTTTCACGTTAATTGGTTGGAGGGTACTTTTCGTAGCCAAGTCCACTTGGCCGGAAGGGGGAGCTTTGCAATTTGACCTGCTTGACCTGGGGCCCGCGCCTAGGCTCAGGTGAGCAAGGCCATTTGACCGAAGGGCCGACCACCTTCCGCCCGCTTCTCGGGTCCGAGGTCATCTCCGGGATTCGTTGGGCATGGGATGGAGCTGGTTCGTCGGGGCTTTCAAATCCCAATGGGTCAAACATATAGCAAGGAACGGCTGCCGTGTCGTTTGTGCCAGTGTCAATTCGGCGAGAACCCAAACCTGGCTTGCAGGAAAGAGGGAGCTGCCAAACAAGAAACAGAGGCGATTTTCCGCTCATGTGTGATTCCTTGGGTACATTACTAACTTACCTGGTTCTGGCATTGACTCAAAGGGCCGAAGGGTTTCGCTTTCATTGATGCCCCGTGAAAGATCGAAACAGGGCACCAAAGGCTTCTATTGTGGCACACGCCCGTACCTCACGGCCAAACACATAGATCTAAGTATCACGAGCCCAAGCAACCAAAGGTCTGGTGTTTCTTTGTCGAAATGCCTGGTTTAAGTTTGGTGCATAAAGATATTTCGCCAGCTTGCACTTCCGAGAACGGGCACCGGCGCCACAGTCACGACAAATGCACTGGGGATTGCGACGGTATCGCAGCCGTGCAAAGGGGCATCCAGTTGTGGCGAATGCTTATATATGACCCCAAAATGGTGCGTGTTCCGTTTTTTTTGGCTTTCCCGATTCCCCATTCAACCAACAAAAAGGTACCCTCACCAAGAGACCCACCCATTTCTTTGAGGTCAGGTGGTCTACAAATTCCTGCAGGGCTCTGCAGCCAATCAGGCGCCGCATTATCGTATTTCTTTGTTCGAGGTGTTTGTCTTTCTGCTTTGCCTCGTCTTTCCTTCCTTGTTCATTGCATCGTGTAGCGTCTTAGTGTTCCTGTGTTTCTGTGTTTGTTGCTTGTGCCGTGTTACTTATTTATTTGTTTAGGTATGCCTGATTTTGTTTATGGTTGTATTTCCTTCTCGTGTTGTTTGTTACATTGTGTCATTAAGATTTTACGTATTTATTTCTTTATGTTGTGTAATTTGAGATTTATTTATTTCCTTAGGTTTACTATTCCTGTATATAGATGTATTTCTTTGTTTTGGTCTGTCTTTCTCTGTCTCTGTCGTTCTTTGTTTCTTTATCTTGTTTGTTTTTTCTATTTTTGTGCTGGGGTGTGTGTGTGTGTGAGCGCGCCATGTTGGTGCTCATGTTTAGGCTCACTATGCAGACATGGCGTTGTGTAAACACGGAAATGGCATCGCCAAGTGCTTCCAACATGCGGCACTGCGTCAACTCCAGTTTTGCATGAAGCTGCCCGCCCTTGCCGAGCGTGCTTGATCTCTGTCAGCTTGAATAGTGCCAAGGGACATTGCGATTAATTGAGCGGACAGCTCGAGGCCAAGTAGCTTGAAAGTCATTGTCAGCATTGTTTACTCAGATTGACTGTTTCACCAATGCTGTATGTCTAAGAGGCAACTATGCAAGGTTGCCTTTCTCCTGTGTAACATCGGACAAACAAGTCCAACTTTCTTAAAAGCACTCAGCTTCACCTGGTGTGTTCTCTGTATGGGTGCGTGTTTTTGAGGTGACCCCAAAATGGACTTCGGTTTCCCTCTCAGTTTCCCGCTAAAACCACAAACAAGGGGTGCCCTCAAAAAGACACCTGGATCGCACCAAAATGGTGGATGCAAGCTTCACCAGGGCATTTTGCACCTCGAGTGTCAGGCGGTCCGTTGCACGACCTTGAAGCGCAGCCAAGTAGAATGGTTCAATAGAGTACTAAAGGACGAAGGAGCAGGGAGAATGCTGGGAGGAAACTGCAAAACAATATCCAACCTGTTCGTTACATGTTAAATAAGAACTGAACATGCGACCATGCGAGCGCGGCGCGATTTTGGCGTGCGCCGAGTAGAAGGATCTCACCAGAAGAGGGTTCCACGAATCCGGGCCGCATCATGGGGTTCTTAGGGAATACTAGTTAGTGCGACCATTTCCGAGTAGTCATTGGAAGCCTTCTCCTGGGGCTCGAGGTTTGTCCTGACTTGTTTGAATTCACCGCCCTAAGCATCGTGGGCCCTCCAAGTTTGTTTTTTTAATGATGTCCGCCACCTTCCAATAGAGGTCCCTGGACTGGACTCTAACGATGCTTAGGGCAACAGTTTGGAGTGCCAAGAACAACATCGGCACTGTCAAAAGCAGACAGGCCCCACTTTATTTCTGACTTGGATTGGTTGCCAACACAAATTGGATGGCGTTAAAAACAGAGAGGCCCAGTGAGACTTCTGCCTTGGGCCTGCCAAGGCTCCAGGTCCAGGCCCCGGCTTCCCCGTCCGCCGGGTCCAGGGCCCCGCGCGTCAGGTGGAGGATCTGAACCCTTGGGAGCGGCGCGCGGTGATCTTCGAGCGGGTGATCTTCCTGGCGATCTTCGCCCGGGGCGCCCGGGGCGGCCATGGGCGATCGCGGGGAATTCGTAAAGGAAGGAAACCAGGTCCCCCAGCCAGGTGTTTCTTTTGTGGGGGAGGGTTCCCCTACTAAAATAGACTACAGGAAAAAAAGTCGACTGGAGGAGCTAGGTAAAGGTTCCCTCATTCCCCGAGCACCAGCAATGAAGGAAAACATGGGCCTCGGGCCTTGTGAGAGGTGTCGATCCTTTCGATCAGGGTTAGTTTGGGGACCGAAAACCCTGAAACGTGACGCAGAACAATCGGGGAATTCACCCCTTCGGGTCCTTGTGAGGCAAGAGGTGGCCAAGCAGTAAGGGAGCACCTTTGCCATCCAGCCCCATGTTTGATGCTCCCAAAGATGTTTGAGGCAACTCCGTGGCAAAAACAGAGGCCCCGTTTCAGAATGTTCACGTCCACCCGGGAAATGCCACAGTCTAGGTGCGTTTGTGGTCTTGCAAACGTGTCGCAATTCACCCCGCATTTGTGCAAATATGTTGCTTGGTGGCTCCCAGCCATCCCCTTAGCGTTTTTGCGTTTTAGTGTTTTGGGCCTAGTGGTAGTTTCCATTTAACCCACTAACAGTTAAATACTTTTAACAGGGGATCTGAGGACAGGCCAGGCTTGTGACTGTTTGTTCAGGAATAAGCTTCGGTAGCGCTCATTTTGCGTGGCGCGTATGGCCCGGAAGGCAAGAACTCCCTTCGTCAGCTTAGGTCACGGTGATGGCAGCCATCCTGGAGACTCCGAGTGCCAGAGACTCCATATCTTGGTCGACTTGTACATGTTGTTTTTGGTGGCTCATAGGGACGGGGTGTCTTGGAGCCTCTAGAATCTAGGAGACGAATACCCATGCACGTCCTAGGTCCTTGATCTGGAAAAGCTTTCAATAGGCTTTCTGTCAGCTTCCATGCTGGTCTTGGCTGGTCAGCCTTTCAAGTCGGTTCGCTGAAGGGCTTCAAGACGGGTACTTGCATGGATCCATGAAAGTTGCCCACATGATTCTTGTATTCACACTAGATTTGAGGCCTGGCCTCTCAGTTGCATCAAGAAAAGAAAGCCCTGGAGCCAACCGGAGGCAGGTTGCCAGATGAGCCAAACTGAGGAAGTCAAGCGTTTGGGTTGAGTCATCTACGGGATCTGAATTCCTGGCTCACCACTTGATGCATCGTAATTGAATCTCTGCAGTTGCTTTCATGTTGGTAGTGGCATGACGGCACCGGGGATCACAAGAGGGGAACGAGTCTTGATAAGTCCATTGAGCTGCGGCTTTCTTTTGAGGATGCCCTTTTCATAGCTGTTCATTTTGTTCAAAAAGGGAACCACAACATACACCCCCCAGGGCCCATTTGTTGTTGGCGGGGGCTCGCCCGGTTTTGGGACAGAGATATCTCTTGGGGTTGGTCTAAAGGAAGCTACAAATACTGTGGATGGACGAAATCCTGCACCACTTTGAAACCATGCGAAACCATTGTGCGTTGGTATTTACAGGGTTTCTTGGATGGTGCGGAATGGATTTCGTCCCATCCACAGAACCACGTCCCATTTTGGGGTTCCAGTCCCCCCCCATTTCGACAGGAGACCATTGACGGCTTCGACCCACCGGGCTCCGTGAATCGCCAGGCAGGGTTTCAGTAGGTTTCAGCCATTGAGGCATGAACGCGTATTTTGTATGGTGTTTTTTTTCAGGGAACACAGAAGGCCACCACCTGTTTGTGGGGGTTGGCTAAAGGGAACCAAAAGGAAGCCGCATGTTGGGAGGGCCCCTGATTTTGAGAAACGCCCAACTACATCTGCCTTATAGCATCGCACTTTTCCAGATAACCCGTGCAACTTGAAAAGTTGAGCAGCAAGCGGACTCCTTGATTTGGAAGTCCGACTAGTAGCAGTTGTAAGGTTTTCTGGGCATCGCTGATAGGGGCTGGTCTCAACCCAGTTGAAGGCAGTGTTTTTTGTGTAGTACGCACTCAGATGTGCCAGATGTGCCATGGTCAAAGCTCCAACTAGGTTTGGTCATGAACCTCTTGGTAGAAAAATTGGAGATCCGGTGTGCGTCCTTTTCAGAGAAGCGTGATGATGATCCGCAGGAGTTATGACCATGGCACTTATGTTCCCCCGTTTCTCGGAGCAGGCCCACTGCGTCAAAGAATGATCGGGTTCCATGTTGATAGCTTGTGACCCCTAAAGATCCTGCAGAATCCTAATGTTGACCCCGGATTTATGACCCGCCCCACTTATTACTGAGGGGTGTCCCTTGTTGGTGGGGAATCCTTTCTTCCAGGAGGACCCTCCTGATAAGTACATAATTGGTGCCCGGGGGGGGGGTTATTACTCAGGGGTCAACCCTACTCACTCAAAGGCTGCCCTGGCTCCCCGTGCCACACTGATTACTAGCTGACAGGTGACTCTCAAAAGAAAATGGCACATAAAATCGCACCTTGGTAAATGGAGCCAAAGACTAAAAGCCGCAACTTTATCTGCTGAATTTTGAGACACACCCAGTTGTCAGGGCAGTTGTGAGGACGTAATTACTGGTCCCGACAACTGTTGACCGCAATGTGGATGGTCAACTACTTTCGTGGATCTCACGCACGGCGCACACATGTGCGCAAATAGCCTCGTGCAGCTTGGATCGACTTCCCGGGCTCGCAACCGCTCTTTCCGGCAACCGCTCCAGAGTTTGTTGTCCCAACGCTCCACTTGAAGTCAGAGGCTTACACCCGCCTCGGCGGGCGAATGTTCTTTTGGGAAGGGGCAACACGCCAGGCATCCGAACAAAGGCTTTCAAAGCCTTCAGGACGACTCCATGTAGCACATGCATGCATTCATATCGCCATGGGTCAAAATCCCGTACTCCCAGTGAACATCCCAATCCCCACTAAAATAGATTAAAATGGGTGCACCTACCCCAAAACGGCACCATTTGATTTTGCCCCACGGCCATATGGCGATGCAATTAGACCACAACTCCTGATCCCCTTCCAGAAGCTTCAGCCGCAGGGGGGCCATGCCAAGATGGGTTCCACCGTGCAACACAAGGAACATTGGATATACAGCAGCCTTATATGACTGTTTCTTTAAGGAATTGGACACCGTTTTGGAACCCTCATACTCCACCAAAACCAAATTTACTTAATTTGCGACGGGGAGATCCAAGTGTATGGGGGTGGGCGCCATCTTCGAACCCCCACAACCCCATGTTTGACTTTGTTTTTTTGGGGGGTGGACAACCGTGTGGGTGTTCTTTTTTGGGTTAGTTTGTAAAAAATAGATGGGTTCCACTTGTTTGGACGGAGTGTTACGACCCATTTACCAGGGCCATCGAACGTGTTTCCAAAAGGGCATCTAAGTGAACGGCTACCCACATACTCCCCCATTTCCGACCTGGTTTAAGGGTGAACAACTGGCGGTGGCTCAAAAGACCGGTCCCAAAATGGGTTGCCCCGGACAATGGAAACATGGACCAAAACCTGCGTATAACAATTTCTCCTGTTTCATTTTGAGCCACACCCAACTGTCCTGCGGCCACGGCCAGATCCTGGATGTCATCGAGATCGTGGCCACGCTACTCTTCACCGTGGAGTACTCCTTGCGCTACTTCGTAGCGCCGGAGGCTGGGCGTGACGCGGAGCTGGTCCGCAGTCCCCCCGGATGGGTTGCTCTTGGCTTCGGGCAGGCCATCCATCCTACGGTGGATGGTTGCGAAATCCATTTCGCACCACATTGAAACCATCGAAAAACAAAGGTTTGTGGTATTTCCGCGGGAATCATCATTCCAGGGGTCTCAGGTGGTGCAGGATGTCGTCCATCCACAGTTTGGATGGTTACAAAGTGGGCCAAAATTCAACCAGGAATTGGAACGCAGGTTTTAGAATTGTTGGTTCCATTCACCATGGATCCATTCTTTGTAGCAATGTTTGACCCACAGCCAATCCACAAAACGCACCATGTAGGATGTGAGACCCGGTGGAATACTTCTTACCTACCAAGTGGTTCAGAGTTTTGCCCATCATGGTGGTATTGTTTCGAATCCCCCTTTGTCGGGTTCCTCAACAAAAATGGTTAGCCCGGCAGCCCAACAGATGTTCCCTTTTTCTACCAGGGTCACTGAACAACTGCTGAATCCTCCCCTCCCCCCAGAAAAAGACGCGGAACCTGAAAGGACTTGTTGGTGCGAAGCATGGACTGCCTGCCAAACTAACATTCAGATGAACCACGGCTTATACACTTCCATTTGCTTAAAGATATTTGGTTATTTTCCCCCCTGTTGGTTTTAAATGGTATGTAGTACTACTGGAAATATGTGATGAACTTCGCTTGTCCCAAGACCCCAAAGCGAATCGACCGGATCAGTGTCAAAGCCCCAAAGGTGAGCACCTTTGATGTCTGGGTCCCATAGGGCTTGCTGGAAGATTGGGGCAACTTTTGTAGGTTATCGATTTAGTTGCAGGGGACTTGGTCGAGTCGGAAACTGCGCATTTGCTGCACCTACTCTTGCCAAAGCAGACTAAAGGCTATGCTATTTCACTGGCCAACTGCTTGTGAGTTACGTATGTCTTCCGACAGTCCGCCTGTTTGCATTGTGTGGAGAGGTCCAGCTTCCCTTGTTTTTCGGACACAGCCAAAGGAAGTTGGAATTTGGCATTAACCATTTGGGAAGTCCCCCTATTGTGGCTTTTGTCTCTCTTTGTGTTTTCTTGTTTCGTTGCCATTGGGTCCCCTTCCAGGTACACCGCTCCACCTAACTAAATATCCCCATTTCGCTTGGCCTCGAACCGCCGCCGAAGAGAGCCGCCGGAGAGCCGCGAGAGGCGCCGGAGTGGGCGGAGAAGGGCTACGTGGGCGGCTCAGGTTTCCTTCGGGCAATTCGAATCCCCACGAAGCCGTTTGGTTTTTGGCTTGGGGAGGTGAACGTTACCCAGTGGGGCTTTGCTTTTCCTGGGATTGATTTTTTCCAGATTGGGAATTTGGGGATCCCCTTCATGATGAAGCATGTGGAGTGGTCGCCCCTGTGATTTCCAAGGCTTGGCCAGATTTGTTTGGCTCCGCCTGCTCCGTGGCACCCTCCAAGCCCACCTTTCGACCTTTTGGTTGCCCCTTCTTGGTTCCCACTTTGGGTCATGGCCACAAAAAGTGATCACCTGTGAATTTCTGGATCAGAAATGGATCCCCCCCAAAAAAAAAACGCAAACAAGTCGGCTCACGTTTTCTATCGTCACAGCCCCGGGATAGGAATCCATCGGAATGAGTCACGGCTCAGGTCAGTGACCGCGCAGCAAGATGGAGCTTCGTCACCTCCATCCCCGCCATCATCGACCTCTTGGCCACGGCCAGGGCTTCGCTTTGGACGGTTTGCGGACGGCTTCTTCGCCTTTTCTGGTGGCATTCGACCCATAAAGGGGGGGGGGGGGGTTATGTTCAACCCACAAACATGTGTGTTTTTGGCGGGGGATGGGATCAACTGCAAACCACGCATGATTTCTGTTCAACCTGTTTGAAGAAGAGGACCTCCTGAAAGCTTCATTTCACCGTTGTCAGGTAAATCTTGCCAGGGACCCTGTTGATGGCATGTGAGTTTGAAGCTGCTACATCATGCGCTGGGTCAGGTTGCTTTCGCCTGGCCTTAATGCTGGTGACAAAGGCTTACTCCAGCCGGCCTGTGAGACTGCGGCACCTGCACCTGAAGAGTATCGATCCGTTTGTGCCAGATGTATATGTGTTGTTTTGCTTGTTTTGTCTCCAAAAAGAAACAAAACGCAGTGTTTGGCTGAAGCGTGTCTCCAAAAAAAGAAGCGGTGTCTGGCTGGAGCTGTTCAACCTTTATCCCGGGTCTGGCGGGCCTTAAGGTCACCGTCACCCTCTCCCAGTTCCATAGCGGGAAACCCCTGTGGAAGGCGATGCTTCCTGCAGACCTTTGGCTGGTGTGTGCAAGGGAAACCCCAGGTCCTTCCGAATCTTCCGTTCCACGTGGCCTTGCTCGTATCCTTTAAATCAAACTCAGCCCTCCCCGAAAGTACTTCAGTTTCAGCGACGCGCTCATAAAAGCTTCATGCACAGATGATCCTTTTACCGCCCAAGGGAACCCAAAGGATGATGAGGGTGCTCCCCTCCAAAAGTGATAAACCCCCACTAAAACCGGCGACAAGCACCCCCATAAGCGGTGCCGCCGCAAGCGGCCCAGGCGCCTTACTACCTGGCGCTCTGTGGGTCCAGCTTGGCCGACCAGTACGACGGCGAGCTGCGCGGTGGCCCCAGCGCCAGCTGCACCGGCGTCGGCGTCTGAAACGGCGTCTGACGCGGGTCAGGTCAACCGAGCGAGTGAAACCCAGCCGGTTGTGGGGATGGCTTCCCAGGAGTTGATTAGTCTCTTTGCTTGCCCTAGTGCAGCCAGGAGTTTATTCGTCTCTCTTTGGCCGGTGCGACCGTTTTTTTTGCGTGTGCGTATGCATGTGTGAAAGCAACACAAGGGACGTTTTGGGGACGTCTTGCAAGGGGTAAGGTGGAGCCAGCCAGTTGGATCCCCGTTTGAAAATTTGGCACGTACCAGCTTCTCTTGAGCCGTGCGGGTAGATGATGGGGGGCTGACAAACTGTTGCTTTTGTTTGCCCACCTTAGACCAGCGTCCAAGCAACTAGCTCAACCAGCATCCCCACTGCATTTGCATCGCCCAACATTGCTCAACGCCAGTGACATTACCATAGGTGCCCTTGGTGGTCAGTTCGGTATGGATGGCAGTGGCTTATCCACGGTTCCAATCGAACATGCAGTGCCATGTATTCTGCAAAAACACAAAGCATTACATCACCGCATTGAAGTGGATGTTGGGTGGGTAGTGGAGACAGGAGGCAACATTAATTCTGGGAAGGTCGCATGTTTTTGGGGGTAGCTGCCTCACCCAAGCGTTTCCTCTGTGTCCCGCTTGGGCATCGCGTTCGCTTCGTACCACGAATGGCCACTGGGTCGCTGCACAAGTTCGAGGCCTGTTGATCTTTACAAGGCTTGGATGCATGGGGACCCTTCCCACCAAATGGGTGTGTCTTTTTTCGAGGGTACGTTTGGTTGGTTCTAAGAAGAAGCCCAAACAAAACACAACATGTTTGGGGAGTCCCCTTCAAAAAATGAGACATATATGGACTCAACAAATTGCAGCCGTGCCATCGCTTGCTTGAGGCATGCTGCGAATCTTCCGCTTGCCCTGGGCTCAGACAGCGTAACATAACTGCTTTGTCCAGCTCACGTCCTACCCACACACCAAGAGGGGTGAGGAGTGTGCGTGCCTCCCCCCCAGCGCTACAAACCTCATAAGCCGAGGACACATTGGCACTTTGTTGATATCAGTTCAGCGCATGGCCTCCACGAGATTTGCTTTGGCTTCTCCACGAAAGTGCGCTCACAGATTTCTCACTGTTCAGGTTGACGCTCGACAAGTACATCCCCTCAGTGCCAGCTCCTCACTGTGTGCAGGTTGACAGCCCCTGCGAACCTTGCTGACCTCGTTGAGCAAATGTGTTGGGGGGAGGGGTGGGAATTGGCTGCATGTCCGGCTTGCGGTTGAGTTGTGAAACATGTACACACACACACACACATATATATATATATATATTCCTCACACCCACCCACCCACCCCACCTCCAGAAGCTATCCACTTGCATGTTGCGAACATCCACAAAAACTGGCTTCGTCTTTGATTCACTTCCACGAAGAGAGATCACTCAGAGCAACTGCACCTCTGAGGTCTCTTATTGGCCGTGTCTTCACCAAGCATGCCAAGGACTGGAGAGGGTCTGGCGGCAAGAGCCCGTTTCAGAGTAGGTGGAGAGGGGTGGTCCATCAGTTGACCCCCTGGATCCAACGGTTGGAGCTATTTGCCTGTTAAAAAGGGGGTCTTCCATTTGCTGAAGAATATGTGTTCTTTCCCCCTGTTGGTTTGAAAGAGCGTCGATTTCTCTAGCGGAAATATTGTTTTTTTCCACTGGGGGCTGAAGCAAACGGAGGGTTTTGGGTGGGGTTTTGGTCCCTTCTCAGGACTTCCAGCTGGCAGCCTATGCTGCTGCCTCGCCGGAAACCCGGGAAACTGGGCGGGTATGGCGGGTCTTTTTTGTGAGGGTGCCCCTTTAAAGGGTGGTTTGAAAGGAAGCCAAAAGGAAAACCACAATTTTGGGGGGCCCCTAAAAAGGAGGTAGACCCAACTGGAGAGCATTCACTGAGGGACACTGACTTTCTGCAAAACCGGGGAAACTGTCTGGCAAAGTGACCGGGAAGCTATGTGTTGAGCCAGGCAAATACGCCACTGAGTGACAAACTGTCTCGACCGTCCAAACCAAACAACTGGCCTGTCAGTACATTGCAAGGAAGCTCGACGGCTTCAGCCAGCCAACAAGCAAGCCCCCAGAGCAAGCGAGCAAGCAGGCGAGCACAAGAACACAAGCAAAGAGCAAAGGGCACCAACACAAAAGCAAATAGAAAGACTACACAACGATACAAACAATGACGGAATGACAGACAAGCCCAACTTCCATTTGCTGAAATGACTAATTTGCCTGAGTTTCCCCTAGTTGGTGTTAAAGAAAATCAATTTCAATACTGGACCTACTGTGGATGGACAAAATCCAGCACCACCTAAGAAACCCTGCAATGGTGATTTCCCTGTAAATACCAACGAACACTGGTTTCCCATGGCTTTAAAGTGTAGGATTTTGTCCATGCCCCGGGGGGGCGAAAAAGCCAATGGAAGACACGGGAAACCGAGGGAGCGACTGACTGCCGACTGGGCGACCGCCGACCGAGGCTTTGGTTGATCTTCTCAGCGGCGATGTGGCTCACGGAACGCCATGACCCAACACAGGCGGGGCCACTGGCCATGCGAGGCACTCACTTGATTAATCCGGGGTTTGGGGTCACGAAGGGGTTTCTGTGATACTAGGAAATCCCCTCTTCATACGCGGGCTACTTTGATGGTCTGGGACGAATCGCTAAATGGCCAGTAACCCTGGTTGCAGGGGACTTACAACCATTGGGTTACAACCAGGGCAAAGCGAATCGCCATTTGGCCAACTCCCAGACCATCTAGTCTTTGGGAGGCCTGCTTGTTGTATCACAGTGGTCATTTCCCGGAAATCCCTGCACTTGATCCATGAAAAGCACGGATGTTGCCGTGAAAGCTTGCAGGCAGGCCTAGAAAGAGTTCGCCTGAAGCCCCGAATTACTCACTCCCCAAGTTCCTGGACTTCAGCCACTAAAGTTTGGTTACTTTGGTTGGCCAATCCACTCGTGAAGTGAGAAAATAGAGAGGTCATTTGAGACCTTTTTGTTTGTTTTTGGAGGAGTGGACCCTTTTGGGTATGGTTCATTGGTCTGGTGTAATCTTGTTTGATTGAAGGACATAACTCAAATCTGTGTCCCGTTAAATGATTTTGACTCACTTTGGGTTCATGAAAGGCCCCTTGCTGATGGATCAGGGGTGGCAGCTCGATTGAGGGAGTCTTGGGTCTTCATTTGGTCCGCCCGCGCCTGGCTCTGCAATGGCAATCGGACAACTGCTTTGGATTTGCGTTGCAAAACGCTGTCCCATTGGCAAGATTATTTTGAAGCACTTTCGGACTCGACCGTTAAAATGTGTGTTTGATTTTCATGGTCTGCCTATGTGTGTTTGCATTTGGTTGTTAGTTGAAGTTTAATGAACATTTGCTTGCCCCAAATGGCTGGGCTAGAAGTATAGCTGTGAGAGCATCATGTTCGCCATGCAGCGTCAACGCGCATTCTTTCCTGTTTTGCGGTTGGGGCGATGATCCAATGTGTTCGTTCTCACGTCCAGCACCCCAAGGGGCCGGACCTCAGGTGGATGACTACAAGATGTCCCAGCGCTATGGCAGCATGCTGACCGCTATGCAGGGCCCCTGGCTTTTCGGGAGCCTGGCGACGAGAGCGGTCGGTTGGAGTCAGTTTGCCCCCAAAGGCACGAGCCTGCACGCAAAATAGCGCAACTGGGATCAAGATGTTAGTGCGGTGAGTGAGTTGGCGTTTGGTTTCTTTGGGGCTCGCGTGGTTAAACATGTGGCATGCATAGTCGCACAGGAAATATCATGCATCATGCTGTGCGCTACTTCTCGCGCAGTTTGGTCGTGTGTTACTTCTTGCCTGCGTCCTGCTCTCTTGTGGGCAGGCACTTAGATGAACCCTGGCAGAAGGCCCCAAGCCAAAAGGCCAACCCCGCATCAGGGTGATGTTGTAGAGTGGAACTGGCCAGACGGTGCCGCACAATCTGGCTGTCCGGTTTTAGACGGAATAAGGAACTATGTGCATTGCATGTCTTGCTTTGGTAGCCCAGGTTCCCAAATGGCTGTGTCTTTCTTTAGGCCTCAAGAAATGGTGTTTGTCCTTTTGGTTTGGCTTTCCTTTAAACCCACCAAACCAGTTGGCACGCTCAAGAAGAGGACAAAAAAACAAAAAACAAAACAAACAAACAGCTTTTTTTTCACGGGCACCAGATTGATCTTTTCGCATCCGCGACCCGCAGGCCTTATACCTTGGTGCACCTCACAGGCCTCCGGAAGGGTTGGCAACGAGGAAAAGCCGCGACTGGGCCACGGCTCTCTTGCTTCAGGCCCCAAACTCACTCCCCGAGTTCCGTTTTGGGACTTTACTCACTTTCTGGGTTTGGAGTTGTTTTTGGTATAATATTCTAATGTGGAACACAAAGTTTGGACGTGTTTTGACACCATGTGCCTGGTGTTTGCGTCCGTAGGTCCGATGTGCCAACATCACCCAACTACACATGTGCAGGTAGCGTAGATTGGTGTACAGCCAGCACCAGTGATACATGTGATACATGAGTCACGGCTTCATGGCGCAGGGGTTCCTATATTTCCCTGGGTACTTGCATGTGTTGGGCTGAGTTCCTGTGTCAGTGTGCGAGTTTCGCATCCCAAAGCAACGCAACCAGCCCTGGGGCTCTAGATGGGCGGTGCAGCTAGGAAGTGGCGAGGCATTTGCTGCCTCCTTGTTTGTCAGGTCCTCGAAAGCTAGCGCACAGAAGCACTGGGTGGTTCCTGCAAGAGTGTTTTCCTCACCTTTGCTAGGGTTACACACTGTAGTTTGAGGGGTGCTTCCACCGATTCTATCATATCGACGTAGCGCCCGTCTCTTGTCAGCCTGTAGATGTGCTTGATAGGTGCAACCAAGGAAAGTGCGTTAGGGCTTGTGCCTGCGTCGCAGGCAAACATTGCGTCAATGTTGTGCTTTCCACTTACAAAAGCCGGGATGTTTGTTGCAAGCCTTCTACTCCTTTTTTGCGTGCGGCGAAGGGGTGTTACTTCCCATCTGTGACTTCGCCTAACGGAAACCACGGACATGTGTGCATGTGTGTGTGTGTGAGTTTGTGTTTTTGTTGGGGTCCTTGAAACACGTTCCCTTTAATGCCACGGCATCTGAAAAAGGGCACAGGCCCAAAGACGCGCATGGAACATTGCTTTTTTTTTGGGGTCCTATGGCCAGGGGACTACCCGCTGATTGACTACGACTTCCCTGCGAAGTGCGTCCTCTTCGTGGCTTTGCTCTTTGCAGTGGGCGCCCGGACCCCGGATCTCGTTGCTTGGGCCGGGGGGGGGGGAGGTTGGGGGGGTTCAGGAGGAGTCCAAGGGCATGTCAGAGGTTCCATTTCCTCATGGAAAATATCTGTCAAGGGCTTCATTGGTTCCTTGTTCATTGCTACTACGTCTTTCAGGCTTTCCTCCACATCTTTTCAATGGACACCAGTAAATTGCCAAGCTGTTGAAGGGGCTGGGTGTTTTCACTGGACACCACCAGTAAATCAATCAACGTTTGCTTTGGGGGAATCCAGTCTTCCACCTTGCCAGGCCTTTTCCCAGAAAAATCCAGGTACTTCATGAGCATGGCTTGCTGGGGGGGTAACAAAAAAGGGGCCCAGGTTTTTTTCCTTGGGTTCCAAGAAACCCCCCTGGGTTTGGGGACCACCCAGTGACCCCCTCGTCTTTTCTCCGTGGATTTCTGCCGCACACGCGGCACGCTGGTCGGCAAGCCGTCGGCTTGGAACGCGTCGGGCAATGGCTGAGGTGGTGGCGGTGCCCACCGGCTTGCTGGCCTCCGGCTTTACCCAGGAGAGGTCTCTGTCTGGGGAGATGGGGAGAGGCCACCGGGTTGTTGTGGTTGTTGTCGGGAAACATGTTACGTATTTCTGCTGATGGTGGTTTAGTGGTTGAAATACCCCCAGTTAACTGCTAAAATTTGTTTTTGCTGATGGTGGTTTGGTTGAAATCCAGCCACTTAGCTGCTGAAATTTGTTTTTGTTGCTTGATTTATTATTTTTTGGTTTGCTCCCCTTCCAAGGTCAAGCAAGACCTGGCCGTGGGCTGAAACCAATGGATTTCCACAAATGGAGCCACTTCCATTGAATAGTTTCCCCCGAATGACATCATGAATATGAGTATGTCGCTTTTTTTTCCCCGAATGGCTGTGGGTCCAAACCCTGGTGCCCCTCCCAAGAGATCCCCTTTCAACATGATCCAAACAAAAGGGGGCGATACCCAAAAACGGGTATTTGGGTGTTGAACCACGCCCACATGAATATGAATGTGTTGCTTGTTTTTCCCTCGTCGGTTTCAGAGGGGGTCGATTTCAGGGATCCTTTTCTTGAAATTGCCGAGAAGCACAAAGCTTCCATTTGCTTAATAATATGTGTTTTCCTTTGTTGGCTTGAAACGGAATCGAGATCACCACGGGACAAATAATGTATCTTTTTCTTCCCAGGGCGAAAAAAGCAATTGGAAGGCCAGGTTTGGAATCCCCGTTTGAAAAGGAAGTCAGGTACCCTTCAGGCGATTACATGAAAAACTTCCACTGTTTTTGGAAGACTTGGTTCCATTTACAGGGGCCAATTGGGGGAGCTTCCATGTTAGTCTGAGGGAGTCTGCCTGTTAGGTGGCTTGGATTGGAATTGGATTTGAACCCCTGGTTTTGTGGGAAACAAAGTCCGGAACACCTCCAAACCACCAAATCAAACCACCAATTCGGGGAAGCTGAAAGTAGTCGTGAGAATGGCACATGGTGTTGCAGAAGGTTCATTTTCCGAAGCCGTTGGAAAACAGGCTTCGGCCGCAGCTTTCTGGTGTCAGCAATTGAACGCTTTGGTTCTTGGGCCCCTCCCGCCAACAATCATGGAAGTGGACAGGGGGGTTCCTCAAACATTTGAGGGAGGGTAGCATGAATCTTCCCAAGTGTTTGCTTGCGAGCGCACAGGAAACCATTGTGGCGTTTCAGAAAGACTAGGGACCCTCCAGTGAAGCTGTTGAGGGGTTCTCGAAGTCACTTTTGGAGAGAAGTCCCTTAACCTGCCCAAGCGTGGATGGCACTTTGTGCCTTGTTGCCCTCTTGGTATTCTGGGTTTCCTCCATTCCCCTTACCATCAAAACAAAACACATATATATGTATTTATATGTATACACAATATATATATATATGTGTGTGTGGTAGGACCCCCCCAATACCAAGGTGTTTGCCCATACAACCGCGCTTTGCCGCGGGCATGCGCCGCAAGCGGGTCAAGACTCGCAGACTCCCAGGAGCTGAAGAAGTTCCGGGAGGAGGAGCGGAAGAAGCGGACCGCGGCCGCCACGAAGATCGAGCGGGCGGGGAAGACTTGGGGCACGTGGGGCACGGGCACCGCGAGCGGCGCGTGCCAGGTGAGGCCCATAGACCCACAAGTTTCTTAGGGGTCAAACGAGTTTCGGGGCATTACGCCACGATGTGTCTTTGTGCGTTTGTGGATCCCATTTTTTGGGTTAAATTTAAAAAAGAGAATGAACTCAGACATAAAATGAAGCCAGACGAATTTGAGTGAGAGGCAACCCCATGGTTCTGCTTTTGTTCGAGTTCGGCAGTTCCTGTTTTGGTCAACCTTGTGTGAAAGTTGACCACTGCCTGGGCTTACGTCTTATCGGTTGGGGGCAACCAGAAACTGGACCCTGATCGGATTTGCTGCACTTGGAGCTTCACACTAAACCCAGAGGGTCCAAGTACCTCATGAGGATGGCTTTTGGGGGGTAAAAAGGGGTCTAAGTACCTCCTCAGAAGGTGCTTGGACCCTCTGGGAAATAGCACTGGGCACTTGTTCCGCCATGCTTCCAGCTGTAGTTCATGTTCAGGGATCCTTGTCAACCGCAGCAATTCGAGAAACACCAAGCGTCCATTTGCTTAAGAATATGTGTAATATTCCCGTGTTGGCTTGAAACGGAATCTATCACTATTGGAAGTATTTGTGTGATTGCCGGGTGGCGCAAGATATGCAAGCAAGGGAATCTTCGTTTGCGAAAGGAAGGGTCGAGGATCCTACAATGGGCTTAGGCCCTGGTTTCCCCTGGCCCCATGGCATAGTGTGGGAATTTGGGATGATCCCCCCCACAAAGAGGTTTCCCCTAGGTCCCGGAAATAGAGGCGAACGGGAAATGTGGGTCGCGCATCGACGTCCCACGTAATCTTTTGTAGAGGTTTTGTGGTTAAAGGCTTTTAATCCAGACATGATGACTGGCAGGATTGAGAAAGAACGGATGCCAAGCTGTTGGCTATAAGTGGGTGGTGCAGCCTGTCAAGCACATGCTTTCACTTGTGCCTGATCATGTGTACCAACAATATGCTGACGCCGAAGGCTACACAACCAGGCGTTGCACTGCAACTTCGCAGTGTTGAAAGCACCTGCAATGTGCTGAGCAGCCACAAGTACACTTGAAGCACCTCTTCCAGATTCGATTGCAACACTGAGTGCTTCAAAAACCAACCCCTTCTAGAAAACTGTTTCTTGATGTGGTATGTTCATGGGCATGGTCGATCAAAGTATGCCGCTTCCAGCCATCGATCGCCGCCCGGGAGCACCGGCACAGGCCATTGTCCGCCACATCAGGCGGCGAAAGTTCCGAAAGGTCATGGAGGAGAAGAAGGCGCGGAAGCGAACTCAGTTTGGTCTGTGGTACGGAGCCCATCGTTTGGCGTGCGGTACGGAGGGGGCTCGCAACACACAAGTTGAGTTTCTTCTCCCGAAAGCTTTTCGAAGGCAGAGCAAGATGCATGAGAACACCTGTGCAGCAAGATGCACAATAGTACACCCAGAGGGTTCATGAGGATGGCTTTTGGGGGGTAAAAAGTCGAAGTACCTCCACAGAGGGTGCTTGGACCCTCTGGTCCCATCTCGCATCTTTGTAGCTTGGCTAGAATCATGACGAACAGTTTTTGGGAACCAATGCTACTTTTCAACATTAAAACATTTGATGTGGTGGAGGTTCGAAAACTCACGGTTTTGGCTTTTTGGCTGTTTTTGTTTGCTACTTGTGTTGCGGTCCGCGCACGGCCTTCTGCAGTGATTGGCGTAGTCGAGGTTCAACACCTGCAGTTTTTTTTGCTGCTTTGTGCGGTGCCAGCCGGGAACGACGCGTGCCAAAACTTGCCAGAACAATTTGCAGGGAGATAGCTGCAAAGAGAGGCACGCACAACGCACTCGCACGCCCAGAGAAACTGGCGCCAAGGACTTGCGCGGACACACTTGCAAAGCTTGTGCAGAAGCTTCCAGAATTCGCGAAGTTTGGCCAAAAAAATGCGTGGAGATCTTGCGCAAAAAACTTGTAGAGTGAGATTGCGCAGAGCTTACTAGCGCACAGAACTTGCATGCAGAACAGGCACAACTAAACTTTCCTGTACTCTTGTAGCTGCGACTCCAAAGGTTTTCGACACTGATTCATTTCCACAGAAGAGCACACATAGACACGCCCGGTAAATCTTTGGCATGGAAGCTTTGGGACAAAAAACGCGCGGACCTTTGTGAGCAGACATTTGCACCAACATAGTGACTTTGTGAAGGTTGCTCGGCTTTGGCCTTGAGCTTGCTGGATAGCAGGTGCCTAGATGCAGCGTATAATGGACATTTTCGTGTTTCTGCTTTGAACTTGGCAAGCTTTGCAGGGATGCTTGACATCAATGCGCAATATATGTTATGCTTTCGGGCAACCCGTGGTCCTAGCATGTTTTGCCATGTTCCTTCTTGATCGTTTTGGCCTTTAGGGCGTCACCACCTGCTCCTTCCCTCCTCTAAGTGTTTGGACATGAACAGCGCAGAAGGCAGAAAACCCCAAATCTCGTCTCCCGTCACTTTCAATATGTGTGGTTTTTACGGTGTGGGTAGTTCATTTGAGTTGGCATGTGCCAAGCAAATCAACCAGTGTATGGATAGGCTTCCGGGAAGTGGGTTAGGAACCGCTGCCGTCGTTGGTCGGAAGAATAATTATCTGTTGTTTTGCATCGCAAACCAAGAGGAGTGGCCGAATCCGGTGACAGGGAGACGTTGATGGGCGCCTTGATGGTCTCTGATCCACCAGCCATAGCTTGTCAAGAGGCTAAGGAGTACGACAACATAGTGGCATGCCAAATGTAGTTTGGTTGGTCATGCCATGCACGGTGGCATGTATCTGAAATCCACTCGTGGCCTGCCGCGTGCCAGGCACAGAGCTTGTCATTTGCAAGGACCAAGGACCTTGTGAAGAAGGACTGGCGCTTGAGCCGTGTCCTCCATTTGCTTCAAAAAAGCAACATAGAATTCCCTTGTTGGTTTTAAAGGGAATTCATCACTACTGCAAATGTGTTTATTTTTGTCCTGGGGCCTTAACCAAATGGAAGTTGTTTGGTGTCAGGAGATACTGTGGAGGGTCAAACATCGAAATCCGCGAGTCTCGCACCACGGTTAATGAAACCATGGGAGTCATTCCACAACGTTCGTTGGCATTTGCAGGGGGATCGCATCGTTCCGGGGTTTCTTGGGTGGGCGAAATGGATTTCGTCCATACACAGCGCGTCTCACTTCGGTGGGTGGCCTTTGTTTGCGCAAGCAAGCAGTTAGCTCACAAACCAACACCGGCTGGCCAGAGTTCGGTACACAAGGGAACTGGCTTACCACAATGAACCGCGACGCGGCCAACGGTTTTGCGGGTCAGTGGCAAGGTATTTGGCCGCTCGGCCCCAAACTCTTGTCATTGCTTCATCCCTTCATGTTGACCCCTGATTGATGCACCTACAGATGTGAATGCGTGGCACTTGTCTTCCAGGGTTATTCATCATGGGTTACGCGTATTTGTGAGGCAACCTAGTGTCCAGTGCAGCTAGTAAACCGACAGATTGATGTTCAAGTGGGTCCGAATTGTTGCGACCTCAGTTTTGTCCTGTCTTCCTGTTGGCAGTGCTCAGACTGGAGGGAAACTAAATCATGCCGGATGGCAATGCATCCTGTGGCAACGGCATTGATCACAGTCAGCAAGTGCTGGACGTGAGGGGTGTTCAAAATTCGGACTCTCTTGCAGATTTGAGGTTGGGTTGCTTAGACTTACATGGCACTAGTTTAGATTGTTTTTTTGTTCATTTCCCAGGAAAGCCACCTAATCTACAAAGAGGCGTCCTATGGTCCATGGTCCTTGTTTGACTCATGGGCGTTTCATGGCCATCGCAGCCCCTAAAAAAGCCATGTTTACCGCAAGCATGGACACCTTCCCACTAAGGTGGCGCCTGGCAATGCACGTTTATCTATGTCCATGCGTTTGCTTGTGTGGGACCTGGCCTGGATCAATCGAACTCGGACCAGCGCACCCCCACATGCGCCGCAGAACAACCCGAACAAGATCGCCTTGGTCGACTTTCTGGAGCAGAAGACCCCTGCGGGGCGAACTTTTAAAAAGGCGAATCGGTTTTTCCGTGTCGCCGAATCGGTGAATCGGGGTCAGAGGGATCGCCCCCTCAACTTACGGCCTTGCCTTTCCAACACGTCACGTCTTTAATTTGCTGAAGTGAATATGTGTGTTTTATTCCGCTCTTGGTGTTAAAGATATTTTATGACTTGTCTTAACCCCGGATTAGTAAACCCCTGGCTGATTAATGGGGGGGGTGTCCCGTTTTAGTGGGGATTCATCACTGTTGGAGGGAACATCCCCCTAATAATGGGACGGGTTTATTAATCTTGGGTCAACATTACTGGTAATATATCTTTCTCCCGGGGGACAAGCAAATCGAGGACATGTTAGCTTAGAACCACGTTCGGGTGCCCGTGACCATGCTTGGCCGCATGAAGCGGGGCCATTCGGCCATGGCGCCCATGCTGATGTTGTAGGCATGGCTTCCATTGGGCCGTGTCTTGTTTTGAGGGTACCCCTGTGTTCCTGGTTTTAAAAGGGAAGCCAAAAAGAAAAACTACCTTCGCTTGTTCTTTTCGTTTGTTGTTGTTGTTTTTTTTTGGGGGGGGTCCCGTAAAAAGAGAGATGCGTTTGGTGGTTGGTGATGAATGTCGCTTTGCAAGTGCCTGGTTGAGACCAAGTTCTGGCAGGGGACAAGCACATCCTTTCAAACTGCGATGGCGTCTATGTGTGCGCGCGCTACGTGCGTCCGTCCGTGTGGGTGTGTGTGTGTGGGTGCGTGGGTGGGTGGGTGGGTGGGTGGGTGTGTGCACGTGTTTTACTTGCAATCCTTCAGCACGCGGCAGAGCATCGGACTTCCGGCAGGTCCAATGCCAAACGCGCGAGTTACTTCGCAGTTCAACCCCAACACGTGGCAAGTGGGACAAACCCCCAGCCCTAAAATGGTTGCCATTTCTTTTGTTCCCCGCCTTGCTTTTTCCAAGCGAGGCGCCGGTGACCGCCAGATGTTCAAGAACCAACTCCGCTCTTGTACAAGTGATGCGGGAGAACTTGCACATGACGCAAGTTGCCGGCGGTTGCCCACAACTGGAAACCGCAATCAGCACTTCCATGCTTGGCCAGGTGATGCTCGTTTTGATCATTCTGAACGTTATGGCGGTGATTGGCGAGAGCATGGCCTGGGTCAAGAAGGCGTCCGCGAGTGCACCTCACCTCTTCAGTTTAAAGGGGATATTTGTCGGCGGATTTTCCGCGCATAGCAGACCTGTTCTGGACTAACAACGTGTTCGATCCATGAACCAAGGGGGTGTCCCCTTTTTCCTTCAGACAAGGCATTCAGGGCGAATTGAAGCAAATCTAAGCAAATGCTCAGAGAGGGGAGGCTGAGCTTTCCGGATCGAAAAAAACACCGATCCTGATCGGATCGAGGCCTCGAGCAATGAGAGGTTCTTAACTCCATGTCGCCTTTCAAAGAGTTTGGGTGATTTGCGAAGGGAATTGGGTGTGGTTGTCAAACATAGGGTAACCCCAAAATGGATCCCTGGGAAATGGAAACAAGGACCAAAGCTGGGGGTCCACATCCTGCTGGTTTAAGTTTGACCCATACCTATTTGAAAACAGAAGCAACAAACATCGACCATGCTTGTAGGACGGGATCGCGTTTCTGAGACAAACCTACGCGAAACTCATAGATTGGTCCGAGTGTGTTTAGAGTGTCTAATCTCTAGCTCTTAAATAGATCCTTCCTAATCCAACCACCAGCTTCACTCAAAGGACCTCATAACATGGTCTCACAATGGGATTTCCACCAAAATGGTGGTGTTCCTGTTGGTTTCCCAGACCAGCCGTCCATTTGCTCATGTTTCCCATGTTGGCTTCAAAAGGGATCAATCCCGACTGGAAATATATGTGTTTTTTCTTTGCAGAAATCCTTAAGCAACTGGTTTCCCAGCCAAAAAGAGAGAGGGTGACCCAATATAATGTCGGCCGATTTCCGGTCGCAGGCCATTGGCAGCGATGCGCTGAACGGCTTCGAGCTGGTGAGCGTGATGCTCTTCACCTTTGAGCAGCTCGGCTCCGGGCCAGCCGGGCCAATTTGAGGAAAATCAGATCCATCACCAATGTGTTTGGCGCGGTTTTTAACCACCAACATGAGGGTGATCCATCACCATGTTTTTTTTTGTTTTCCGGAGCATGGCGCAGTGGTGCCCCTGGTTTTTCTTTTCCGACTTTGTTTTGGGAAGGGTTCCCTTTAAACTCGACCAACCAAAAAGGGATGCCGATTCTTGTTCCCATGGGAATCCACTGGGCATCTGAGTCATATAGTCAAAAGACCGGTTCCTTTACTTACAGGGATGGCCATCCACCTGGTAAGGATCCTACCATGATATTGCTTCCTGGGGGTCCATGACCATAGTCCAAAGAAATGGAGTTTTGACCATGGCACAGATAGGGCGATTCGGTTTTGATGGGTGAGACCGAATCCAAGGACCTTTGGGAAGCCATGGGGCAACCCAGACAAGGGTGGGCAACCGAAAGCCCATGAAGATTCCGTCAACATTCCAGATGTTGGGCAACCGGAAATGCGGGAACTTTCCAAGGGACCCGTTATTTTTTGAATTTGCATTTAAACCATCCTCAAAAAGGGACGCACCCAGTTGCGCACTGGTCCTTCGAGACTTGCCCAAATTTGGGGGTTGGATCCTGGTTGAATGTGACAGTCGGAGCTGGCGTCTCGCGCAGGCTGAGGTGGGGAGAGCCCCAATGAGCCAAGTGGGTTGGCCCTAGCGACTCTTTGCGCCCCGCTTTTGTTGGGGCATTTTCCGCCAGTTTCGGCTGCCACCCTCCGTCTCAAGTCTTTGCGCAGTAGTGCCCTTTTGCCCTTTTTGGGGGAGGGTTCCCCTTACTAACACAAACTACAGAAAAAAAAGGTGCCCTGATTCTGACCTCTCTACTGGAGGACCTAGTTACCTAGTTACCTAGTTGGCATGAACAGCTTCCGGGGCCTGAGGCCCGTCTCAGTTGTGGAATCGACGGTGTGACGACTTTGCCCTTCCAACAAACATGGAAGTGGACCGAAACCCAGTCCAAAAAGGGAAGTCGCTCAAATGGGTTCTGCGGACTTTCATGTTTGGCGGTAGGGTGATGGAAACGAGTTGTGTGTTGAAGTTTTTTTTTTTTCTGTCATAGCACCCTCAAAGGGAGATCGTTGTAGGATTCCAGTTCATTTGGTTGCAAGTGCGGTGTCCGCCGGAAGACCTGAACTGTCCAAGCACATTCTGGCTTTGTGGTCGAGTGAGCGCCAAGCGGCGGAGGTAGTGGTGGTGGTGATGGTGGTTGGCGGTGGCGCCAGTGGTGTTCCTCTGGTTTCCCTTCGAAACAACCCTGAGCAGGGTGTCAGCAGGGGCAACGAAATAATCAACAGTTTGCTTCTATGATCATGACTTGTTTCGGTGTAGTTTGCCGCAACCCCATGCAGTGTAGTTAACGCCCTTGTACCAACAAGCAGAGACACTCGCATCCCGCGGTCAGTAAGGTATTTGTCCAACGTCTGGACCGCGCCGGCGAACATCAGGCCAGTCACTGGGTAGAAAATCCCATGGGACCAAGTGTCCCGTTTTGTTTTCTGGGCTCCACACTCAACAGGGTCAACCCAAGCAAGGGCCCCCTTTTTCTACAAGGGTCACTAGGCAACTGGGAAATTGTGCATCTGAAATCAAAGGAGAATGCAAAGTGCGAGGGCAAAATTTACAGTGTTGTCATTTTCCCAGAAACTGCACTGATGGATCCCGCTCGCCATGAGTTGGCCAGCAGTGCCCTCGGAGTTGGTGACGGCGCCCTGGGTGCGAGATGTTGAGAGGCACTCGCAGGATATCCCATCAAGGCTGGCGGATCTCACTGGTCCCAGACATGCTCATGCGGCAGCCTTTGGATTAGGTTTCCCTTCAGGGAACGCCCGACTTGGCCGCTGTTCCTTCTGATTCCCCCATGCGTGGGTTCGCCGGGGCTTGCTTCCGGTTCTCCGTTCCATTAAGTTTCTTCGCACGTAGATCCGGGTTCGAGGCGCCGAACCACGCGCTGCTCCCCAAGCGCGCATCCAGCGCGGGTCTGTTTGGCCGCGGGTCAAACATAGGTATCCAGAATGGACTCCAAAACGGAACCCTGGGAAATGGAAACATGGACTAAAACCTGCGGCCCGCTGGTGGTTTAATTTTTTGACCCAGACCCATTTCAATCTCTCCTGCGGGGCATGGCTTAGATTCACGGTGCCTGGTTGTGTTTGACGAAGGCCCCCTTTGCGCCTGCCAGGTATGGCTTCCAGCGTGGCAGCCCCAGCTTGGACCCTCTTGGGCGCTGTGTGGTCCATGGTGACTTAGGCGACATTGGTTAGAAGCTCCGGGTTACGCAGTTGTCAGCGCAGCTGACAACGTTTTATTTCGTAACAGGTCATTTTCCAACTTTGGCAGGGCCAAATTTGACAAGCCGCCACCGCAACATATGACGTCTGCTTTACGCAGTCCGGCTCAGGGAGGGCGCGGTGGGTGCTCGTGTTTCACAGATTGCATGTTTGCCCCAACTTCCTTGAAAAAGGGTTGCGCAGCGCTGCCCTTTTGTTTGAGAAGGTGTTTTGGGATGCGGGGTGGCTTGTTTGACCTTTTCAAAGAAATAATGAGTCTGGTTCCTCCCAACCAGCTTTTTTTGCTTTGCCCGGAAGTGTGAGCCCTTCATTCTTCTGCAGCTGAGCCTCGGAGTCGCGAGGCTCACGGCGACCTTCTCTTCGCTAAGAAAACCTCAGGTTCTGAGTTCCGGGACTTTAAACTTTTTGGGAAGACCATTTTGGTGGTTAATAAAGAGCTCTGGCTTTTTCTTGCCAATCCACTTGGGAAGTGAGAAACGGAGCAACTACAACTGAATGGGTTCACAAGCAAGTTTCACTTTCGCCCGCTTTTTTGGTACCATTGCGTATGAAACACGTCAGGGCAACGGGACGTGCAACTCTTTCATATTCTTTCATGATACAGCCTCTCTTTCCCCAGGTAAAGTGGTGAACTTGATAAACCTGTTGGCCCATGTAGGGTTCTAAGCGTGCTCAACCACTGACGCGCAAGAGCGAGGTGGTTGCCGGAGGATTCCCCCATTTTACCCTTTTGGCGGATTTAAGTCAACCTGAAAGTCTACGTTCGGTAATGCCTAGGGAGAAACAAGCAAAGCCCTGAAATCCCTGACCAAAACGAGATGAACCGGAGCTGGGGCCGAGCTTTTCAGAGCTCCGAGGGCCCCGTTTGGAGTGTCCTCTGCCGATGTTTGTTGAGACGTGTTTAGATGTTTAAAAGGAATGGGCTCCCTACCTCTACCGGCTTTCTAACAAACAAACACACAGATAAACAAACAAGCAAACAACAAAAGAGATGAAGGAGGAAATAAAGAAAGAAAGCGGGTGTTGTGCATGACAGGAGCACCACTAACAGCCATATTCAAGCACATCGCCGTGCTTCTTGCTTTGTTTCTACTGTATGTGCAGTGCCATCGTTTGTACCAATGGACCGCAGCTCTGCGCCTGGCAGGCTCGTTTTTTTTTTTTTTTGCGAGTGGTTGACGGCTCTTTTTCGAAGTACTGTGGATGGTTGTGAAATCCATTTTGCACCACTTGGAGACCATGGTTGAAGCCATTGTTCGTTGGCATTTACAGGGGAAGCATCATTTCAGGGTTTCTTATGTGGTGCAGGATTTCGTCCATCCACAGTATCTCGGCCAAGTATGCAGTTTCCTTGGATTAGCTTCCGGCAGTGTTTCAGTACTCCCCGGGATGGACGACGTCGCACTGCATTACGCGACTCTCAAAGGCTTTGCAAGCACTCGCGATGACTCTATTATCGCAAGTTGGCACCTCCACAGTGGCCATTCAGGCTAACGCTGATGACTGCGCGGGCAAAGGGCCACACTCCTGCTGCCCTTCAAGTGCTCCACGCCATCAGACGTTAGGGCGATCGTTGGGGCTGTGTCCTGAACTTTGACAAGAGTCATATCCTTGTTGTTGCTCCGCCTGTAATTATCTTCTCCACCTGCGCCGCCCCTTCGGATTTACTGGGGCACGGACGCTCTCACTCAAGCGCCGCATGTCAAAAATCTGGGAGTGTGGCTTACTGACGCGTGGTTACACGCGCCAAAAATCTATGTTTTCCTCATGTCAGATGCAACAACAGCTGCTGAATTTGAAACCGAGGCAGGAACTATGTGCTGTCCTTCTTTGGAGTGGTAGACCTGGTGACGGTGGCGCCTTTCTGGATCCAGCACGGTAGCCTGGAGGGAAGGTCCAAAGCCATGCTTGTAGCCGGCATGCTGTGTAGCTTCTGCTGGTTTTTGAAAGGATACCTGTTGGACAAATTTCAGACTTACCTTGCCTTCTGTTTCAAGTCGTGTCTACATCTACTAGATCATGTTGAGGCGCATCCTTTAAGATACTTGTTCGGCCATATGGGTTCTTCTTAGGTTTAGTGGGGCCCACCTAAAACACGGAGTTGTTCCATTTGTGTTTTTGTTTTTTGCCAGGCCAGATGTTCTACCGTGTTAGTTGCTCTTGTCCCACAGTAGGCCTAGACGTTCTCCTGTTTGCCTAGATTTTCGAAGCGTTGCCAGATGTGTCCCACCTTCGTGTCAGCCGTGCTTGGGCTTGCTGAGTCAACATCTGTGCAATCTGTCACCAGCTCGGATGCCATAACCAATCAAGACAGCATGTTGCCCACATGATTCCCGCAATTTTCTGGCCGCATTGCTAGCATGGATTGCATTGGATTGTTGGTTCAAGATGGGTGCTACCGCCAGCTGCCTAATTCGGAGAAAGACAGCAACCGAGGCAAAGTGACTCAAAGTCTTGGACCGCGACTCTTGGGGCTTGTAATCCACAATGCGTCCTTGGCAAGGGCCGATCGGGGTTTGCAGAGCCCTTGGAGCAACCTGTTGGCCAATTTCCTAGTCCAGTTGGCAGCTGGCTGTTTTCAGCTCCTGTTACGAAGAATCTATACATCATGTCAAAAAGTCCCCAAACCAGCTTTTTGGTTTAAGGTGAGGGATGGTTTGTCTAGACTTTACACAAAGAGGA